CTTTCTAGAAACTCTGGTTTCCATCAAAACTCAGATCTGTTACATGAGAGAGCTTTCCTGTGTTGCCTCCTTCCTCCAAAAAAAATATACCTTTTATTTATTTTGTATATAGTGATAGGGTGAGAGGCAGTGTGCTGTAATGGACAGAGAATTGGCTTCCAAATCAGGAGGTCAGATCTCTGACCCATACTGCCTGTGTGACCTCCTGGCAAATTACTTAACCTCTCTGCCCTAGTGAATTCTCTTAAGATTACAGCATATAATTTGCAGAGAATGGGCTAATCTGTTTTGGCAGAGGAAGCTTCCTTATCTGTGAATTCTCCATACTAATGAAAGCACAGGTCCAGTCCCTATACTCTTAGAAGATCACAGGATTATAAATTTAGTGCTTGAAGGGACCTTATTAAGGAGATCAGAGTCTAACATGTCTGCCTATTTTTCAGATGAGGAAAATGAAGAACAGAGAGGTTAAATGATTCCAGTAGGAACCGCATCCTGACTTCAAATCTAGTGCCTATCCCATGTCTCTGACAATAGAACATATACTTGAGGGAAGGAATTGTTTTATTTTTGTCTTCGTATCTCCAGAGCCTTGTAAATGTTTGTAGATTATCTCAAAGTTTGGAGAAAATGTGGACAAAATTGTAAATGACTGACTATTGAGACAGAGAAGGAAGGAATAAACATTTATATGGCACCTACTATGTGCTAGGGCAGGTGCTACATGCCTTTTTTTTTTAAGCAAATATTATCTCATTTGATCCTCACAACAATCCTGGGAAGGTAGGTGCTATTACTATTCCCATTTTATTGTTGATAAAACTGAGGCAGGCAGAAGTAAAGTGACTTGCTCAGGATCACACAGCCAGTAAGTATCTGAGGCCAAGTGTGAACTCAGATCTTCCTGATTCTAGGCCAGTGCACTATCTACTAGACCACCAGCTGCCACCATTGACTTCCTGTTAGGGGCCTTTATTACTTCAGTGCTGCCATTCTCAAGTGATCCCAAAGTGAAATGTGATCCATACTCATCACTTCTTTCAAAATCTGAGTCAACAGTATGAACCCCTCCCCAAACCATTTCGAACCCCCTCACCTGAGAAAGGCCTAAAACCTGGATTGGCCAATTTTTGGGCCACTCTGAGCTTAACTTACCATAATGCCTTTCACGCTCTGGCATGACAAACATGCTTTGCTTGCTCTCTGAGTGAACCCAAAATGCTCCTTCCTGTGTCAGCAACTATAAGGCCGGAAGAAGCTGACCGGGAGCATTTTTTTGCCAAGGACAAGGCACCTTGACCCAGACACTACCTTGAATAATGGAACTTTCCTTATCTTGGTATCTTATAGATAGACACATTAATGTTATGTTATGTTATATTATGTCATGTTAATGATAGAAGAAACACAGACATCCTGGGTCTATACTTTCAACTGACACTTTGACATCTCTCCTATCTTATTGTATTTACAACCTATCCAATTTAGAAATTCCTTTCTCATATCATGGTTAAAACATATGGAGACTATAGTTTTGGTCAACACAGATATCCTGAGTTGGGATTACTCTAAGTGTATAAAGGGTCTTCTTTAGCTTGCTTATCTCTGAGTCAGAATTATTTTCTGGGTCCCACGTATACATGTATTCTGCTACATTAAGAGGAATAAACAATATATACATATAACCTAGCTTGATTGCCTCCTTTGCCAAACTTCCAGATTGACAATAGTTAACTTCCCTAAAAATTCTTTGATAATCCGCCTCCCAACCCGATGATTCTCATTCCACAATATATAAATATATATGTGTGTGTGTGTATACATATATATGCTGCTTTGCACTTGCTTCTATATTGTTCTGTTCCTCATAATCTAAATTAAATTTAAAAATCCTAGGATAGCATCTTCTACTTGATGATATCTCTTCCCTGAGAGCTCGCCTCTTTCAGTGCCAGTTTTCATTTTTTCCAATTCAAAGAAGTTGACTTCCTGACTTCAGGAACTGTAAGTTTTCCTCAGAAGAACAAGCATCAGATGCTGAATAAGATGAGAGAGGCAGTTAGTAGATAACACTGAGTTAGGGAGAATGGGGTTTTATTGCTGTAGCTACATCAGGGACAAGTACGTTAAAAAGAAAATCAATAACAATTCTTTCGCCTGCTTAATAGAAAAGAACAATTTACTCAATAGTAGGCATTCAGTTTGAGTGCTTAAAAGGAGGTATTATACCATTGATAATAAATGCAAACTTTTAAAAATACTGATAACTAACTACTTGTATTATACTAATTAGCTGCTTGAAGTTGAATTTTAGTCAAAAACAGCAACCTCCACACACCAAAAGCTTTTCTATAATTCTTGTTTGTTTATCTGATCCAGGGCAAATTCCTTCTCAGTGCCCCAGGCAATTTTCCAAGACTGAGTAGTTAGGTGCCTTCTGTATAGATATAGGGGGCCTTTGTCCATAGAGAGTCTCCTATACCCTTGAAATGACAAGTGTGATATAAAAAAAAAAGTCTCCATCCCCCCTCCCTCAGCCCCCTCCAAAAAAACCCCAACCCAACACCCCTTAATCTCCACCTTCCCTATGGGCTGGCACATAAAATGGATAGCTTGCACAAAGGTTGTACATTTAAATGGACCTTTGGCTGTTAAGCATTACTAGCCAAGCATTCAGCAAGTAAAGCATGAACTTTGCCCAGGATTTTACACCAGTACAGATGAGTGGGGAACCAAAAAGCAGAATGGCCCTTTCAAAATTTGGAATGACTACAGGCAAAACATAAAGACCTAGTGGTTGGGGACCCCTGTGTCAGGTGCTAATAATTCATAGATATGATATAGGGGGAAACCAAAACACAGATCCAGCCTCCCGAGTAGAAGTTCATTCATAGCTTGAGAGAGGAGGAGACAGGAGGAAAAAGACTTAAGAAAGCTTCAGGAAGGAATAATATCAATAGCAATAATAGCTAGCATCTATATGGCATTGTAAAGTTTGTAAAGTCCTTTCCTCTATCTTCTTAGGTCCAGGAAGAAAGGTAATATTATTAGGGGCAGCTAAGTGGTGCCATGGATTGAATGCTGGACTTGGAGTCAGGAAGAACTGAGTTCAAATTCTACCTCAGACACTTACATAGCTATATGATCCAGGGTGAATCCCAGCCAGTTTCCTCATCAGTAAAATAAAGGATCAAACAAGATAACACATGTAAAGTATTCTGGAAACCTTAATGGGCTATATAAACGCCAAACTTTACTACCCCCATTTTATAGATGAGGAAACAGGTTAAAATCTGTAGCCACGGCCTGTTGATTTCACCTTTGTAACATCTCTCCTGGGACACTGCCACCACTACTCTGGTACAGGCCCTCACCAGCTCACACTTGGACCACTGCAACAGTCTGCCAGTGAGCCCGCTGCCTCAAGGCCCTCCCCATTCCATCCTACATTCAGCTTGTCAGAATGATTTTTGTAAAATGTCACCCCCTACTCAATAAAATCCAGTAGCTCCCTATCACCTCCAGGAGCAAATACAAAATCTTCTGCCTGGCATCTGGTGCCCTTTATCAGCTGGTCCCCTCTGACCTTTCCTGTACTCTCAAACCTTCTTTCCCAGCCCTCCCCCTCCAACACACTCTCAGCATTTGGGACCTTGGCCTCCCAGCTCTTCCTCCACCGAGACCCTCATCTCCTCCATCCTCATCATCTCTACCTCCTGGCTTCCTGGGCTTCTTTCAAGGCCTGCCTAAAACCTCAGATTCTTTTGGAGGCCTTTCTCAACGCCCCTTAATGTTAGAGCCTTCCCTCTCTTGATTATTTCCAGTTTATTCTCTGCCTAGCTTATTTGTACAGAGTTGTTTGAGTGCTGTCTCCTGGAGGGCAGGGGCTGTCTTTTGTAGCTATGAAGTTTGGTAGACTGAGCACCGGGCTAATGGTAGGAAGACCTGGGTTCAAATGCAGCCTAAATTAGCCATTTACTAGATGGGTGACCCTGGGGAAATCACTTAACCTCTGTGTGCCTCAGTTTCCTCATCTGTAAAATGGTGATAATAAACTCGGTCACGTGACAGAGTAATAATGAGGATCAAAAGAGATAATAATTGTAAAGAGCTAAGCACAGCATCTTGCACATTTGGGCTATACAATTATTATTTTATCTGACCTCGGAAAGGGACTAGTTCTGTGTCCTGGACAAGTCACTTAACGGCTACCTGCCTGTTTTCTCATCTGTAAAATGGGGATCATAATATCCCTTACTCCCACGGTTATTGCGGGGATCAAACGAAATAATCATTGTGGGAAAAGCTCTTAGCGTAGTGCAAGGCACACAGTAGGCGATTAATAAATGCTTGTTCCCTTCTTCCCTTCTTTGAATTCCCAGTGCCTCGCAGCACAGTGACTACATAGTAAGCACTTAATAAATGTCTCATTGACTGACAGACTAAAAGAGGTTTGGGGACTAGGCCAAAGTTACACCGCTGGTTGAGGGAGCGAGGCAGAATTCGAACTCGGGTCTTGTTAGGTGTCCAAGCCCTCGCCAGCTCAGCCAGCTCAAATCGAAGGTCAGCGGCCAAAGGCCGGCCAGGGAGAATGGATGAGGGGGCTTCACCATCGACCCCCAGGCTCCCTCCTCCTCGCCCGCCCCATAGACCCCCAGGCTCCCTCCTCCTCGCCCGCCCCACCCTTCTCCAGACCGCCCCACCCCGCTCCAGACCGTCCCACTTACGGAGCCCAGTGGTTACCTTCGCGTCAGACGCTCGTTCTGACACGGGAGGCGCTGGCTCGGACGAGGCCTTAGCGCACTTGGCTCCACCTTCTCTCCATTTCCTCCCCTCCCCCCCACTTCCCTGGCCACCTCTCTGTGGCTCCGCCCTTTCCTACTCCAAGCTCCGCCTCCACCGCCCAAGATGGCGCTCGAGGGCGGGGCACGACTTCTTTCCCATTCCCGCTCCTCCCAACGCTCTCCTCCGCGTCTTCTCGGCCGGCCGCCAATTGGTCTCGCGAGATTTCTCTGCCCTTCTTAGTCGGGCGGTGAGCTCCCAGCGTTCTTTTTAAGCCTCGTAAGCCTTCCCATTCAGGCTCCTCTCTGCGGTGGAAGGGCGCGCATGGTGAGTTGCTGTATCCCTCCCCACCCCCCATCCTCCTCCCTGCCTCGGGCCGTCCTCTCACTGGGCTTCTGCTCTTAGGTGGAGGCTTGGCCCGGTGGCCACACCTCGGATTGCGGGGCAGGATGGGGCCACGCCATGCGGCCTCCACTGGGCCTCGCGTCGTTGGGGCACGAGCTGGGACGGCTCCTCCGCGAATGTCGGAGGCCCAAGAACGCCGGCTGGGTTATGGGCCTGGTGAAACAATCCCATGAAGTGGGAGTCGGTAATGTTTTTTCTTCACCCGTGGCAGATCGATATTTCGATCTCAATGGATGTGATTAAAGAAACCTTGGCAGAATCATAGGAAGTTAGAGGGCATTTATAAGCAGGAAGCAGGCTCGAAGAGGGCAAAGCCACATGTGTGTGGCCTTCCCCCTTCGCAGGGGCCGAGAGCAGATTCAACCTCCCTCCCCCGACTCCGCAAGCCATCGGGATGGGTGGGGCTACGGAAGGGGTTTTACTTATTTATTTTATTTTTTGACGAAAGGCGCTTTGGGAACCCGAGGTTGTGACAACAATGGGTGAGCGCGTGGGTCTCATCTTTTTTTTAAAGGCTAGATGATTTGTGGAATTGCTTGCCTAATGACAACTGAAAAAAGCTTAAATGCCATTAAAAATTATGAGGTGGCTACTGTGTGAGATGCTGTGCGGTATGGATAAGTTTTACGTGAGGATTGGAGAAACCTGATACTTGGGGTTCAGAAGGCTTAAGATGACGTCACTTGGTCTGTGAGCTTGAAGGAAGATGGCGTTCTGAGAGGCCGCGATGAAGGGGATGGGGATCTCCTGTGTAAGGCATGGAGGCAGGAAATGGTTGTTGTGTAGTTACTCTGGGAAGGTGGGCTGGGGCTTTGAGAATTCGACTCAAGCTTCTTTCAGCCAAAGACAAGATTTATTAGAACATCCGTCATATTGGGCAGACTCTTAAGAAACCTGACCATTAGTGAGCCGTTGGCTGGATTGTAAGAATCTGAGCACCTTAATGGAGACAAGATGGACCTTATATACAGAAAGATTGTGGAAGGGGATCTAGGAGTGACCAAGTAGTTTGGGGTGATGGGAGGAGGGGTCTAAGGAACATCTGGATGGGAGTGGGCAGTAACCTGGGGTGAACAGAACTCCTGGGGCCTGGACAGTGGAGCCTAGCTAAGTTTAAGGGTGGGAAATGGCCAGTGGCCACAAGGAGGTAAGACAGTGGAGGGCTAGGCTAGGTTAAAGGCAACAGAATTGGGAGATTTAGGGATAGCCACAATGCAAGGCCAGTTGATGGCATTATAGCCTCAGGGGAACGCCAGAGATTTGGCCTTGTGGGAAAGTCCAGGGTTTTTATACTTTTTGGGTCTAGCTCCCAACCTCATCTGGGCCAGCATGTAATGAGCCTTCTATACCACAGCATGTTTTATCATTGTTAAGTCGTTTTTTAGTCCTGTCTGACTCTTTGTGACCCCATGTGGTGTTTTCTTGGCAAAATTACTGGAGTGGTTTGCCGTTTCCTTCTCCAGCTCATATACAGGTGAGGAAACTGAGGCAAACAGGGCTAAGTGATTTATCCAGTCAGGCAGGATGTCAGGTCTGATTTGAACTCAGGAACGTGTCTTCCTCATCTCAGATCCGGCACCAAACACTGCGCCCCCCTAGCTGTGTGTCCCTCCCGCACCCCTCATTTTATCGTAAAAAGGGAGACAATAAAGGTGGAGTGAAATGGTCTCTAAAATTAGATAAAAAACTAGGAAGCTTAGGGAAATTCTCTGAGTCAAAATTAGGCTAGCCCAAAACTGCCAAAGAATCTGCTAAGTACAGTCAGTTAGCACCTTTCTGAAGAATTTCATTGGAGAGGGAGGGGTAGAGAGGAAAAGGTATTTGGAATTCAAGTAGCAGGATTTTAGTATAATTATTTGATGTATATTTCTGAATAATAATGGAAAAACATTACCTGTTCTAATTAAGCTCCTGCTATGTGCCAGGCTCTGTACTAAACAGTAGGGATACAAATAACAAGGCATTCTCTAACCGGGGGAGGAAAACACAAAAGAAAGCTGAAAAGGGTAAGGTACCATGCATGGGGAGCGTGGTGGACTCTTGCAATTGGTGAGAAAAGAGTTAACTGAGCTCTTTTTAAATGGAATCTTAGAGGGAGTTCTTTGCTCCATTCTCTTCCAGTCAGAGGGTACTGAAGAGTTGTGAGAGCATGATGGTGATAGTGTGCAGCTGGAAGGAGAAAAGGGAAAGACCCACTTTAAGATGGGCATAATATCAACTGAACCCAAGCAAGTGGATAATTTAGGACTATGTCTTACTATGAGAGGTTTTTTTTTCCAATAAACTAGAAGTGATGGGGATTAGGGGTGTAGAGACCCCAAAATATGAGGTACAGGGCAGAGTTGTCTGGAAAGAATTCATGAATTCAAGCATTCTTTAAGTTGGTGGGCAGAGCTCCATACTCTGCAACCTCACAGGAATGATGCTAAAGCTTATGTAGGAAAAGTAGTGGATTATGTGCCAAGTATGCTAATTAGGTGATAAAGTACAGCCTAGGTGAGAGGCATCATTCACTACTGGGAACTGGGGAGGGGGGTTCCTAAGGGGTGTGTTTTTGGTCTGTGACAAGATAGTTTCTGGAGTTTGATGTCTATAACTTAACCTTTGAATCCACAATAACTGGGAATCAGAACATGATAATTGTTGGTACAAGATAAGTCTCCTTCATACACACAAGGAGAATTCTGTAGAGGTCAGCTTGTTCTTGTAGCAGGGAGAGATAGTGAGATGGTTTGGCCTCACTGGGCCCACTCATGACTTATTGCTAGAGATAGGGTCTTTGGGTTTGGGAAAAAAACCTGTCAGGGATAGTGTTTTGAGGCTGGTGAGAAATATGATCTAGAATTGTATTCCAACTACACGCACCCCATCAGAAGGAATTTAAAAATTGAAATTTTAATTGGAAAGCTGGGTTTAGTGATATCATGTATATTGCTGCCCCTTTCCCCCCAATACTACTTCTTAACTAAAAGAATATAATAGAAAGAGCATGAGATTCAAGTTCTATGTGACCTTGAGTAAGTTCATTGACCTTTCTTTGGGCCTCAGTTTCTTTACCTATAAAAGGAGGTTTTTGGAGTTCTTCCCTTAAGCTCTAAATTCATAAGCCTATTTTAATTGGTTCTACAGAGTATAATGGTGGTGGTAACTGAAATAAAAGGGATTGAGAAGTTCTGGGAGTAAACCAGGTAGCAAAAGAAATGTCAACAATGTCACATGCATGCAGTACAACCCAGGAAATTGGGTTTAGGCTAAACAAGGAGAAAAATGTCTACTGTGGGGTTTCTACTATGTAGAACTACCACCTGGAAAGGGGTGAAGATATCTCCTGGTCATGGTAGATGTGTTCTCTGAGTGGGTAGGAGCGTTTTTCCATATAAAAGAATAGATGCCACCCACTGTGACTAAGAAATTGCTGACTAAACTTATACTGAGGTTTAGGATACCATGCATCATTGGCTGTAATAGGGTTATGCTTGTCACAGGCCAAATAGTGACTGATTGAAACAAGGGTTAGGGATTGACCAGAAATTGCAATACCCATACCACCCTGAAAAACCAGGATCTAAAAACTGAATTGGATGGAAGGCATATAAACATTGGGGAAATCTTTTTTCTTTTAGATATTAAAGATAAACATTTAAACCCAAGAGTAATGGATGAAACTCAGAATTCGAAAAGTGGTTTGAAGAAGGAAACCTCTTTGGCTTCATCCGGTTCATTGGTAAATGATGAAACGTGAGTCTCCATTTTCATAAAAGCTATTAGTCACTGAAGACATGGTAGGAGATTTACAGAATATGGGGATTAAAATAAGGATTTGAACATATTAAGTGAACACAGATTTGATAATTGAGGGAAATGTCTGTCTCCACTCTAATGGAATTGGATGTATTGCTGGGAAGATCTTAAAGAAATTTCAATAGGTTTCACATAGTTCTGTGGTATCCATTTGGGGTTTCCTTGGGAGAGATACTGAAATGGTTCACCATTTACTTCTCCAGTTCACTTTACAGATGAGGAAACTGAGGCAAATAGGGTTTAGTGAGCTACCTGGGGTTACACAGCTAGTGTTTGAACAGGATTGAGTCATTCTGACTCCAGGCCTGGAACTCTGTACGATGTGCAACATAACCTAGCTGCCCAATAGGTTTCAAATTTATTTAGTTTCCTTTTGAAAATGAAATCTATGCCGGGGCGGGGGGGGGGGCATTTGAGGTTAAGTGACTTGCCCAGGGTCATACAGCTAGTAAGTGGTTTGAGGCTTGATTTGAATTCAGGGCTGGTGCTCTATCCACTGCTCCACCTAGCTGCCCCTTAACCTGTCCCTTTCTATAAGAACCAAATGTTTTTCTAGTTTTCTATTCATAGTTCCTTTGAGGTAGTATCTGGCTTCTTGATTTTTTTAAAATATGTGTGTGTGTGTGTGTGTGTGTGTATAGTCAGGTACAAAAGTTAGGTGATGGTTTCTGAGATAAAAGGAAGGAAAGGTAGTTACTAGAATTATGAGTAGCCTGGACAGTTAGTAATTTTTATGTGTGCATATTTTTATCGTGTAACAATTGCACTTGGCAAGGAGCTTGGACCACATGTATATTACAATGAATGCTCCAAAGCCTTTAGTGAATAGAAAGTACAGTAGTTTAATTGTTTGACTTCTGGAATGCTGTGGTTAGAAAGGATCATATCCTTAGCTAATGTAATAAACAGCAAATTTAGTGAAGTCTGTTTTTTTTCTGTTACAGTGATGACTCGGATTCTAGCAGCAGTTTATTCAAAACTCAGTGTGATCCCCCCCCACCCAATCGAAAACCAAGAAACATATCTACCTTGAATATGATACGGTCACCTGCAAACACTCAGTTGCAAGATAACTCAAGCGACTCCTCTTCAGAACTAGAACCATTTAATTTGCAAGTTGTTTTTGGAAATTGGAAGAAAAAGAAGAGAAGGAGAAAATACAAGCCAACTGGAAGGCCAAGAGGAAGGCCAAAAGGAAGCTTTAAAAAACAGCCGTCTTTAGGCACTGTACTTAAAAAAAAGGACCTGTTCAAAGATAAAGGTTTACAGTTCCCTTTGGTAGAATCAGAGAATGGAAAGAAACCATTACTTTGGAAGAAAATTTTAGGCTATGAGGTGAGGCAGATTTTGAAAAGTTCTTATACATGTTATGTAGTGTTGTACCTGTGTGTTCCACACTTGTTGAGTGGAAAATAAGTTTGAATTTTTTACTTCATTATGATCTCTTATTCCTTATTTTGGCAGATTATCTGACATTTACATAGTGTTCTTTAAGTATTTTGTTTTTTAGTCCAGCTATATATGACTCAGATTATTTGGGTTTTTCTTGGCAAAGATTGCTAGAGTGGTTTGCCATTTTCTTCATCTCATTTTACAGAGTAGGAACCTGATGCAAAAATGGAAGGATTAGGTGACTTGCCTGGGATCATACAGCTAGTAAGTGTCAGGGGCCAGGCTTGAATTTAAGAAGAGTCTTCCTGACTTCAGGCCTGGCACTACATCTGCTTTGCCACCAAGTGCTACTGTTTAAGGTACTGGGAAGAGAAAAACAAGACAGGAAAAAACCCTTGTTCTCTTTAACAGGAGAACATTAATAAAGGTTAAATGGCAGAGGATGCATTATTCTAATAACTGATTAGAATATAGCAACAAAAAGGATTTGTGTGTAGTAAGACCTGGGTTTCAGTCACTGTGACCCTGGGCAAGTCATTTAAATTTAACCTCAAAGGATTATGGTGAAGATTAAGTAACAAGAATGTATGTAGAGTATTTTTGAGAGTAGTCAGAAATGTAATAGGAATATAATAATTCTCAGGCTTCTTGAAGATTATCAGTTCTAAGACATGATATTCCATAAGACATCTGTTAAGGGTTTCTATAATTTCTTTATATAGCAAGCAGTTGCAAGAGGGTTTTTCAACTATATTAAGGAACAGAAATATGAATCCCACCTCAGAGAAGCTTTGAAACATCTGGATGTTGGTGAAGATTTAGAAAAAGAAGACTTTGGTGTACGGAAATACAGATATTTAGATGATGATGGATCTATTTCTCCTATAGAAGAACCCAAGTAAGTTGACGTGTTTTTTTTTGTTTTGTTTTAAATCTTTAGGCAATTGGGGTTAAGTGACTTGCCCAGGGTCACACAGCTAGTAAGTGTCAAGTGTTTGGTCTGAGGCTGGATTTGAACTCAGGTCCTCCTGACTTCAGGACCAGTGCTCTATCCATTGTGCCACCTAGCTGCCCTGACATATTTTTATAGGCCTTTATTATATGTATATTGATTTCCTCCTCCTGTATGCTTTTTTATATTAGTCATTTCTGGATCTTGCCCTCATGTACTTGCATTGTGCATATTCCTTTTGTCCTACCTATTTTTCAAAATGTTTAGCAATTTAAAAACCCTTTTTTTTTAACAAAGGAGGAGAATAGAAATGTGTAATGCTTAAGTAACTTAGGTGTGTGTTTTTTGTTTTTAATATTTTCAGTGTGGAAGACCAGTTGGATGATCCAGATGAATGTGATGTTAAATTGGTGGTGAGTAAATATGATTTAGGCATATTCTGTTGTAGGCTTTAGCCAAAAAAAAAAAAAAGAATTATTATTATTATTATTTTTGGTGAGGCAGTTGGGGTTAAGTGACTTGCCCAGGGTCACACAGCTAATAAATGTTGTGTCTGAGACCGGATTTGAACTCAGGTCCTCCTCATTCCAGGGCCAGTGTTCTATCCACTGTGCCACCTAGGTACACCCAAAATGTAGATTTTTAAAAGGCTTTTTGGGCATCCAAGGCTTTTCATTGTTTCCTTTTTTCTAAAAGTTCTGTTTTAATTATCTACTTTAAAACAGTCTAGCTTTAGTTGTTGCTTAATATTTTTTCGTATAGGAGAACAGTTGTTTCATAATAAGTACTGAATTCCCCGAGAAGGTGAAGACAAAGATTAAAGAGTAGCAGTGACACTCAAGAAAATAATTGTAAGAAAGATGAAACGGATTTTGCCCAGTGGAAAAAAAATCCGTGGACAAAGGGGGAAAAATGGTAAGCAGTAATAGATTATTTGGATTTATTATGCTCAGTGAAATATAGATAAAAAACAATGCCAGAAATTTGTACATTTCTAGGATTGAGGATAGAAAGAGCCGGAACAACTCACTTGAATAGTGCATATATTTTGCACAGGAGCACTGAAATGGTGGCCCAGGGTTGGCAGCTATTTCTTAGAAACCTGTTTCCTACTTTTGGGGCATTATACCTAATTATTCTCACATTTTCATGGTATGGAATCAAATAAACAGACATGAGAAAGTATAGGTACTGAGAGGCAGCTTGGTGTAGAGAACTGGAGCTGACCTGGGAGTCAGAACTCTCTGTTTGCCATGTCCTGGCTATATTTACATATTGTATTATTTATATTCAATATCTCATTATGGTATAATTCACTGATTTTTTTTACTACAACAAGCTGAAGAACATATTGGGAAGAACTGAGTCAGTGTAAAAAAATGCTCAGTTTCTAGTTGTTAAATGGTGTGTCCTGTTTGTGAGTATCACTGCACTTTGTTTAGCTTTGTTTTGAATTGTAGACAAAGTCTCAAAGACAAGTGCAAAGAGCAAACCCTCTTTTGCAACCCACAACCCATGGTTTTGTATGAGTTGTGATACATACAAGAAGGGACAGTTAATGATCTAAAAGTGTTAATGACCATCTTGAAATAGACTGGAAGTTTAGAGCACCTTGGTGTTCTGGATTAAGAATAAGAATGAAATGGAAAATATAAAAAGCTGTAAAACTAGAAAACAGTCAAACTGGAAATTAAGAATAAAATTGGGTGGGAAAGCACTGTTCATACATACCTTGAAAGTTGAAATACTTTACCTCACCTCCATCTTTTTCCCCCTGCTTAGGAATTTGCATTTGAGGAACGTAGTGATTAAAACTGAGAGAATTTTTCAGGTATGAAATTTCTAGTCTTTATTGTATAGTAAGTAGAATGTGGTAGAGTTGTCATGTTGTAAGATTTTTCAGCTTTTGATGCATAACCTTGGTCTGTCAAAGATCCCTAATATATTTCTGAACAATAGTAAATTGTCTTAAGGATAGGTAAGTTTTAAACCTCTTACCTTTTTTTAATTTTGAAGACCAAACAGTTTTCTTTCTTTTGGTCATCTCATTTTGAGGTCTATCCCGATGGGTCCTTTTCCATAGGTCCTTATTGTTGGAAACGCCTCAGACAGCAAATGTGTAGTTATCGCTTTACCCACTAATCTATTTACCAGGTCTGTGGGGATAAAACTACAAGACAGATTTAGATCTAAAGCAATACCTTGTCTCAAATAATGTGTTTACTGTGCTAACACAGATTTTTCTTTTAGATGACGCCAGTTTGCTGGTTTCTTTGGATGTTGTTTCTAGGTAAGCTTAATCATTACAGTCTTTGCATTAATCCGATTATAGTTCATATGATGAATTCTTTTGTTCAACTGCTGAGTGATAGAAACATGAACTAAAATGAATTCTGACAGAGCTAACACACCATATGTCCACAAAATGTCCTGAATATTTGGACCTTTTTTTGGCCTCTACTCCTTTACAATTTATATTTGCTCTTTTAGCTTGTCTGCCAAAGGGAATTCAGGATATGCCTTGTGGTCAACAAGAAGTTGGTTTGGACCAGGGTTGTGAATATGGAAAGATTGTTGCTGCCCTTAGTCCTGGGTTTAAGACATCCCAATACAGCCTATTAAAAACTCAGGTCTGTATTCTTATACTTCCTGTCTTGTATTGAATTATTTTTGTTTTTGTTTTTTTTCTCCATTTCAAGTTTGATTTTACACTTATCCATATTAGATTTGGCCTACTGTTCAAAGCTTATTGGTGTGCTTATCTGTCCTAACAGTTTTGTTTCATGTATTTTTTGCCTTTTTATCACATCACTGATTAAAAACCTTAATCAGCCAGTCTGGGCAAACAGTTTGATCCCCTAAGATGGCCCCTGGAAAAACTCCTGGGTTTCAGGAAATAACTAGGGAAAAGGAGATGGAGCTCTTAAAAGAGGTTCCTACCATATCATATTTGGGGGGGGGGGTGGCGGCATAGGATTATATTAAATCTTTAACTATGTAGGTTTAATATTCTTGTGTGTCCATGTCTTTCACATAAAGACTGCACTGTATGGTATCTGCACCCAGCAATATTATTGTTGGGCTGTTCAGAAGACAGTGCTATAGAAACTCAGTACCTGGCATCGTTGGTTTCATGCTTATTGTGCATGTTCAACCTGGTATTTCTATTGATACAAGCCATTTTAAAAGGTACGTTTGACTTATTTTTGTTACCATTTTGCTACTGAAATGATCCATAAATATAGATTTTTTTTTTCTTTAGGAAATGTGGCCTTTCAGGGACCTGGAAACCTGTTTGAATGGGAGATCTACAGTAGGTAGATGATTATTTTCCTGTGATAAAAATTTTTCTGATTAGTGGGGGGTTTTATTTGTACATGATATTGTAACCTCATTTTGACAATGATCAAAGTCGATATTGATTATACTAAACCTTGATGGAATCCATTATTCCATCATTCCTTAATGAAATGCCATATTCTAAATAATCATGAGCACATTTGGAATTTGTGTTCATAATGTAATAATGTGGCTATAATAAGACAGGTTTTGCTTCCATCACTAAAGATCTATTAGTGGTGACAATGAGACCTGTAACAGTCTGCTATTTTTATATACTCTATAGTTGAATATTGCCCTTTCCAGCAAAACAAAACTTGAAAGAATTGTGGTGTCTATTCCAAATAAGATTCTGAAAATCTGTTAAATTTTCATGCCTTAAGTTAGATGTCACATTAAATGAACACATAAATCTGTTGCATATTTGCTGTCCTCCTGGCCCCTGGTATTTTACAGTTTGTTCCTTCTCTATGGCACCTTCCTTTCCCCCCATCCCACCCCCCAAAACGTTTTCAAACAAAAGATTGGTATTTTGATATGTTAACTGTCCAGAACAGGTTAGTTTTGTGTATTTGTGCAAGGGAGGAGGAGGAATTGTGAGTGTGTAGGTGTACAAAAAGCGATGACTGGCTTTTCTGAACTTATATTTTTAGGAAGACCAAAGATGGACATATATCAGGCCAGTTTTCAACATTCTAAGTAAGTATTTTCATAGTAGTAATGTAGCTTGATTTTGACATCATTCAAAGCATGGATCTATCACACACATCATGGGAGCCCACCCCCAACAATCAACATTAGGGAAATAGGCTTTTTGTAGATTATGCACTATACCTATGTTACATGGGAAAAAAGTAAGGGACATTTAAGATGTGATGATGATCGGCAAAATGTTCAACTGCTCTGAACAGGTGAATGAAAAATGGCCTTTCTGAACATCCAGGTTCTTTGCGGTTAATACCTTATTCAATCCTAAGAAAACTGAGCAAAGGAGAAAGTGGGCTCATCAGTAAAAATGTATAATTCATTTACTAATTGAATAGAACTTAGGACAATTGAAATACAGACATTGAGTATTTCCAATTTTGTTTCTTGATTGCTGATAACTGAAAAATGATGGTCATCTTACTAAGACAAAATGTTGTCCCCACAGGTGTTCTCCTAACAATATTGTTACCAATCACAAAGGAATGAAAGGAAGGAAAAAACCTAGCCTTAAGGGTGTGTGAATATATCAGGTAACATTATCATTCATTGTCTTAATTTCCTAGTGGTGGAGTCTGGAAATTCTGTCTGGTCATTACCAAGGCTTTTAGAATGTGGTTTCTGATTGCTGTGGACATGACCACAAAAAATTACCCCAATAGGTTTATATTTGCTACCTTAGTAGCATTTAGCCTTTTGGGAACATTTTAACAGAGAATTGGGCCATACTTGTATTGGTGTATTGGATGTCAATCAGTAAACATTTACTAAGCACCTACTGCGTGCTAAGTACACAGATAGTCTCCTTTCCTAAAGAGCTTACAGTCTAATAGAGACAAATATATGAAATAATGTTAATGGCGGTCTAGTGATTTCATCTTTCTGATAATTTTAGATCAGCCTGACAAGTTCACTGAAGCAAGCTATGCTGTAATTTAAACAGTAATGTTTCAAGATGGATAGGTAAAGTTGATTTTTCTTAAACTCTTTATTTTACCAAGTTGTTTTTGTTTTGTCTTTTTGCTTTTTGGTGAGGCAGTCAGGGTTAAGTGGCTTGCCCAGGGTCACAGAGCAAGTAGTGTCTGAGGCCAGATTTGAAGTCAAGTCCTCCTGACTCCAAGGCCCGAGTTTTATCCAGTGCATCACCTAGCTGCCTCTACCAGGTCATTTCAAAGAGGGCTTACATGGCTTTGAAACCAGAAGCTCTTAACGCTGTGACCTAAGAGGAAAAGTCTCTATAGGATGCCATGATTAATTACCATAATTATCATGGTCTCTTACTAATGAGAGATACAAGCCTGATGTCATCAAATGAGTAACAGACCAAGAAAGGCAATTCAAAGAACACTTGTTATCTATGTACTCTGTAGAGCAAATATAATGTGATCATTAACAAAGTTAACTAGGTGTTGGCATTACATTTTGTCATGCTTTCTGTTTTTAAGAGAATGGAGAAAGACAAGACAGCTCAAGGCAAAAAAGGAAGAGTCAGAAAGAAAACTATCCATCTAAAATGCCATCTACGTTCCAGATTCTCTGGAGAAGCAGTTTTTTAAATGTTTTGGTTTCTTTTTTGTAATGAAATTGGTATTTCAATAAAATATTATTTAATACCCTTTTTGTAATGGATCTCTTAACCCACTTTAAATTCATAAAAGGTTAGGCCTATGATCAAATAGAAAATCCAAGACCATTAGGATATGGAGAAAAACACTCCATTTTGAGTTTTTAACTTTTTATATTTATTTTTTCTCTTAAGATTTGGTTGTGAATTCTACCTGACCAAATGAGGGTCCTATTTCTGACTAAGACCTACTCATCATTTCTTATAGCACAATAATATTCCATTGCATTCATATGCCACAGCTTGTTCAGCCATTCCCCAATTGATGGGCATCCCCTCAATTTTGAATTCTTTGCAATCACAGAAAGAGTTGCTATAAATATTTTTGTACATGTGGGTCCTTTTTCCACTTTTACGATCTCTTTGGGATACAGCCTTAGATGTGGTATTATTGGGTCACAGGGTATGCACATTTTATAGCCCTTTCAAATTGCTCTCAAATGGTTGTATTATTTCACAACTCCAACAATGCTATGTGTTCCAATTTTCTCACATCTTAACATTTATCATTTTCCTGTTTTGTCATGTTGGCCAATCTGATAAGTGTCAGATGGTACCTGAGAGAGCAGGTGGCTGTTCTGCCACATCTATAGTTCCCCAAGAGACCTGAGAACAGATGATTTTTTTTTAAAGTTGATTTTCACTTTCAAAAGCTTTTTGAGTTTTAAATTTTCCCTCTCCTCAAGACAGCATGCATTTTCACATTAGTCATGTTCTAAGGAAGAATTAGAACCAACAGAAGGAACCACAAGAAAGAGGAAACAAAACCAAAAAAGTGTTCCTATGTGTATTCAAACTCCATAGTTTGAATATCCACTCTTGATGTGGCTAGCATTTAGCATTTTCCATCATGAGACTTCCAGATGTGTCTTAGATCCTTGCATTGCTAGGACAGATGATTTCTAACTGGACTTTTCAATCTTAGATTTTACTTAGGACAAAAGATTAGGTAACATGAGCAACTAGCAGGACCAACTGATTATAGAAGACATCATTCATGCTGGAGCTAATACATTTGTGATAGCACTGAGAAATTGATTGACAAGCTATCCAAAGCAGAGGAAGATACAGAACCATTTATACCACTAAAATGTGATAAAACTGAATATTATCACTCCTGAAATAATGATCACCATTATATACAAATCAAACCATCATCACTACTTAGTAAATACTACATTTCTAACTGCTTTGAAATTACAGATCAAGGCAATGTGGACAGGCTGTTTTATAATCAGTCCACAGCCAAAGAAAAGCACCAAATCTGGGGAGAAGAGGTACTCATATCAAATGGAATACAGAATATAAAAAATAGAAATGCATAATGCTGATGGCTTACATTCATAACCCTATAGTCAAAAAGCTTCAGTTAGGGGCAGCTTGGTGACACAGTGGTTACAGCACTAGCCCTGAAGTCAAGAGGACCTGAGTTCAAATCTGGAGTAAGTCCAAACACTTGACACTTAAAAGCTGTGTGACCCTGGGCAAGTCACTTAACCCCAATTGCCTTTAAAAAAAAAGCTTCAGGTAGCTTAGTCTGTGTGTGTGTGTGTGTGTTTTAAAGAAATAACAATCATTTAGAAGGGAGTCAAGTTTGCTCACCCACATGTCTATTTGCATGGAAACACGAAGTATCTAAAAAGGAATTCTCTTAGGTAGAAGATGGTCAGACTTCTATTTTACTGTCAAAATTAGGGGCAGCGAGGTGGTGCAGTGGATAGAGCATTGGCTCTGGAGTCAGGAGGACCCGAGTTCAAATCCAACCTCAGACATGACATTTACTAGCTGTGGTGACCCTGAGCAAGTCACTTAAGAAAGAGGAGAAAATTGAGGCTATCCAAAGTGCAAGAATGTGAAAGAGAAGGAAGTGAAGGACCATTAAACCTTTGGAGCTACAGAATAGGTTTGAGACTCTCCTCATAGAAGGTGAAACGTCCAAAAGGAAAACAAGTATTTGTGCTACGTGAAATGATGAGGATCCATGGGTGTCATCGAAGGAAAGCTCTTCCAGAACTGGTCAGAAAAGTGGAATGGTGGTGGTTGGAGGCTGTTTAAGGCTATCAAGGTGGCTTGTGTTGACCTGACATGTCACCAGAGGGAAGGCTGTTGTCTTCTTGAGGGCATGTACTTAGTATATGATAGAGACCTTCACAAGTCTAGTTAAACATGACATCCACTATTATCATTTTTGTTGATTCATGTGAAATTATATTGCCATAAAAACCTAGGAAATATTGCTAGGGAATATGAAGTCCTAATTAAGAAACTAAAGACCACAAGGGCAAAAATAGTGTATTCCATCACTGCTAGTTAATAGCTGATGTGGGAGGTTGAGAAGATGGTACTTGAGAATAAGATTCATATTCTTGAATCAGTAGAGAAATGGCTAGGCATATAAAGTACTTTCATGCTATGCCATTCAGTGCATATATATATATATATATATATATATATATATATATATATATATATATATATATCAAGTATTGATATTGATTCATTAGCGATGATGTTTTAAACATAATGTAGTTTCCCTGTTTATTTCTTTGGGTCATCTGTTTTTACTGTTTCCTTGTCTGAAATCATGACTGCTATCCTTTGCTTTTTTGAGTTCTTTTTAATGTTGCAAGCACCATGCTAAATGATGGCAATACAAATACAAAAGATGATCCCTGCCCTCAAGAAGCTTATAGTCTAACAGAAGACAACCCATATATTGGGAGAGGACAAGGACTGGGATTGGCCAAGAAGAGATGTTTTGGTTTGGGAAGTCATAAGGATGGTGAATAAAAAACCTTAAGGGAACTGATTAACATCCCCTTCCTAGTAACAATAGCAGTATTGACTTGGATTCCAGTTCCAGAGCTCAAACGCAAAGAGAATGGCGTGAGAGAGTACTCAAGGCAGCAGGGTAAATGAAGCTGCTCTACCGAGGCATAACAGATTGAAATAATAAACTGAATTGCCAGAAGAAAAAAGTTTAATTTTAAGAAATTAAAATATCTGGATATTGGTAAAAATAAGCCAGGAAAGAAGACAAGTCTTAAATCAAAGAATCAGAGGCTCTCCTACTCAAAAAGAGCCATGTCTTTCTCCTCATGATGGGATCTTTCTGAGTTCAGACACTAGCAGCGTGACCCTGGTCAAATCACTTAACCCTGCTTCCCTCAGTTTCTCATCTGCCAAATGAGCTGGCGAAGGAAATGACAAACCACTCCGGTATCTTTACCAAGAAAACCCCAAATGGGGTCATCAAGATTTGGACACTACTGAAAGTGACTGAAATAACAATGTTCTCCCATTAGTTTTTTTATACTTTTTTGTTAATGCTAAAATTAAGTCTTAATGGCAGAAGACAACATCCTTCTTTTATAGGGTTGTGTCCAAGTGTTTCTCTATTTCCTGTGCTTTTGACTTTATTTTTTATTACATTAAACAAAGATCCTTCTGTTCTCATATGAAGTTTTAACAAAGAATCTTTTGTATGATCAAATGGCACAATTACACCCTATTTGTATCTTCCTGACATGATTTATACTGAATTTTCCCTGGTATTAAAGCATATTTGCTATCCAGTTACAAATCTTACATGGTCATTTTAGACTCTTTTTATCTACTTTTACTATTTTCACAAAAGACAAATTATTTTTAAAAAGAAGTTGATGCCTTTGGTTTTTAAACACAGTAATTTTCAGATTGGTTGGTGGTTGTCCTTCGTTTTGAATTAGACCAAAATGACATCACTATGCTGGGGTCAAGGTACAGTGTGTCCAATTGTGGCTGATCAGACCAATATGAGCTCAGAAGGCTCTACCACAGATCAAACACAAATAATCCACGTGAACATCTGGAGTGGAGATGGCTCTACATTTGCACATCTCACCTATCTATTGAGCTACTGTAATTCTGTTTTGCTCACCGAGTACAATGCCTGCCTTGATGCAGGCACACTGTGCTAAGCTTTCCTGTGCCAGTGTCTCCCATGTCTCACAATAAATTCCAGAGTTCTTCAGAGAGACCTTACGAATGCCCTTGCATTGCTTCTTCTGACCTCTATGTGACTGCTTGCTTGCCTTGCGTGAGCTCTCCATGAAACAGTCTTCTAGGTAAACGTATTTGGCATTTGGACAACATGGCCAACCCATCAGAGTTGTGTTCTTTGCAGCAGAGTTTGAATGCTTCAGCCTCAAAGAGGACTTCAGTGTCTGGTATCTTATCTTGCCAGGTGATCTTCAGAATCTTTCTAAGACAAATTCAAATGGAAGTAATTCAGTTTCCTGGCATGGCACTGGTATACTGTCCAGGTTTCACAGGCATACAACAATGAGGTCAGCACAATAGCTCTGCAGACCTTTAGTCTGGTAGGCAGTAATACCTCTTCCCTCCCATGCATTCTTTTGGAGCCTCCCAAATGCTGAGCTAGCCTTGACGTTTGATCCATACTTTGTTGCATCTCAGCCTCAGAGACTGCGCTGAATACGTAATCATCTGCAAACAAAAGTCACTCACCAACTCCCCCTCCACTTTAGTTTTGGCTTGTAGCCTTTTCAAGTTTTAGTAGCTCACTTTAATGCCATTTTCATCCTTGCTGAAGCCATTTGAAACATTGCTGAAAACATCATGCTAAAAAGCACGGAGGACAAGCACACTGCCCTGCTTCACTCCACTGCTGACTGGGAAAACATGAGAGCATTATCCAGAACATACACCTGTACAAGCAGGCCATCATGTACAATACTAATAAACCTCTCCAGGCAACCAAGTCTTGCCATAATTTTCCACAAGCCCTCATGACTGACAGTTATCAAAGGCCTTGGTTTGATCGATGAATGTTGCATACAAACCTCTGTTCTGCTCCTGGCATTTCTAATTTTCAGATATACTATATCCCAATCCCTTGTTTCCTTTACAAACTGATTATTTAAAATGTGGAGAAAATGATAAGGGAAACTGCTAATGAGGACCTGACTCTAATTAAAAAGAACAAATGGGTTGTTGAAATACGGAAGGCATTTAATAATAATTGACACACATATAGTATCACCTAAAGTTAAAAAAAATACATGCACTATCTTATTTGAGCTTTGTTAACAGTTGTGCATGCAGACAGGTTTGCCTTGGCAAGGAGAGGGGCCATAATTCATGAGACAGAGTAAAGGAGAAGACAGTGGCAGAAGGCATCTGGGTGATGTAAGATGAGGAGGGAAGTTGAAGGAGCTTCGGATGAATGACTTTGATTTTTTTCAGTAAAACCTGGTTCTCAGCTGAAAAGGGCTGGAAGAGAGGAAGCTATGGGAGATTTGAGAAGGTCTGAAAAGGTTTGGAAGAACCACGGTGAAGAATGGGACAGTGAGTTAATTAGGGAGGTAAAAGGACTGCCTTGCAGCAAGGAAGACCCAGTTGAAGTTATAAATGTGTAGTAGTTTTAGTCAGCATAGTTTGGTAGTATTTTCTGCCTTCATTCAGTAGCACATATATAAGAGGAAACATAGTGAATAGTAGGAGTGATCCAAGACTCAGGCTTGGCAGGACAAGTTCTGGGATAGCATAATGGGGTAAGGACTCCTGCCTTTCCAAACATCCCTACCCTGCATCCCATTATCCCAAGAAATTTACTGTTTCCAATCAATTATGGACTAGAAAAGCACATATTCTTATTAGAAGTATGTAAAATAAGAGTGAATCAATTCTGACTAAAGGTCTTAGGGCCTTTCAAATTAGTAAAATGAATGGATTACATATCGTAAGAGACTTTAGAGATTAAGTAGGCCAATTCCTTCACTGAAGTGTTCATTCTATCCATATTGGTCTTTGTGATACCTAGTTTCATTTATCTTTCTGTACTTATTTCCTGGTTCTCAGTTGTGTTTTTGAATGCCAAATAAGTGGGGGTGTTATTGGATTTATAAGCTTTTTATCCTTACTTGAAAATGGCAATTCACTCATTTAGCTTTTCTTCTGGATACAGTTTTCCAAACCTTCATCATCTGTAATACAAATGTCACCAGAGCTGTTCAAAGCTCAGCCTCTTCTGCGATACTCTGTCTCATGAACAGTAAATTAAACAAAAGAATCAACAAAGTAAGAGAACAGCCTTTAAAAATCACTTTCTAAAAATAAAACCAAAACAATTTTACTTATCTATTTAAATCCCAAGAAAAAATAAACCGGGACACTGCCAAGGAACAGACATGTTGAAACTTTTTCAAAGGAAAAGGAAACTTATCCCCTTATTGATTCTTTCTGCCTCCCAACTCCATTAACTCAATATAGCATGCCAGTATTTAAAAAGGGAACAGATTAAGAAGCAAAATTCCACTAATTCTACCTCTGATGATTAAATAATGCACTCTCTCAAAGCAGCTGTAAGGTTTATCTTGATTTGGTGTATCTACTAGTCAGGAATACTTTACTAATCAAGGAAAAAGGACAATTGCCAACGTCTTACCACTGTCAGGGGTCCACATGATCATATCAGAGTATATGCTATAGTAGCTGTTAAAAAATGGTTGAGAAAAAGAAGGTAAGAGGAATAATTAACAAAAAGAATGGAGTGACAAAGGTATTAATGGCAGGAAAAAATTTCAAAATACAGTAGAACACAGAAGTTAAGATGGGTTAATATCAATACAAGCTATAGGACTCTCGGGAGTGTGAGAAGACACAGACTCCATCTCCTACTGAAGGCAGGTAACAGCAATGAGTCAGACCAAACTTTAGATCATGCAGGCCAGATTTTTCAGGTTTTTAAAAGACTTATTTCAGTACTTATTCACTATTTTATCAGTGAGGGTATTCTCATGTCAATGAAGTTTGTAATTCTTTATGCGTTCAGAGCTGGTCTTCATGAGTTGCTGAAGCCCTTGGAAATGTTCTCTTCACTTCAAATTGACAATTCTATCTAAAGCATAGGTCAGCTTAAATGACAGTCCTTTAGTTGGACTATGTCCTCTTTGGTACATCACCTCTATTCTTAGGTTCCATTGCATCATACCTCAATGGTTCTCCAGCTTTGTGTACATTTACTTTGTTGGCTCTCCTCATCCTGTGCTTAAATGTCCCCTAATGTTATATTCTTCACCTTCAATGCTTTTTCATTAAATCTCAATAAACTGAGCTATAAATCTTTTATTTTCCTTTATGTTCTTATTCTTCCTCAAACTCAACATATATCACAAACCAAACATCTTATCCCCCAAACGTCCCCTTCCCAAACTTCTCTATTTCTGTTGAGGACACTAACAGCTTCCTACTCCTGTAGGAATATAACCTTAGTCACCTTTGATTCTTCCTTTCCTGCTAAATATTACATCTAGTCTGTTGTCAAGTCCTGTCCATTTGATTTCCAAAATTCCTTTCCAAAAACCCTTTCATCTCTTCTTGCATAAACAAATGACATAGCCTCCCTAACTCATCTTCCTGCCTTCAACCTCTTCTCCAATCTGCAAGTGGATTCTTCTAATGCACTGTTCTAGTCATGTCATTCCTCAGCTTAAAATCCTTTGGTGGTTTTCCTATTCCTTACTAAATATAAATTCTTCATTTTCGCAATCGAAGTTTTAAATCACTCTCTATCCCTCATCCATCTTGCCCTCTCCAATCTGTTCTTTTGCTATCCCATGCATGGTCCCTTCCCACTCTCTTGCCCACATAGCTACCTTTTGAAGTCCTTATCTTTCAGCAATGTTCAATTCTGGTGCTACCGAATTAGACCTTTCCCTCTTCTTTCCTCTTCCAACCTGAAAAAGATCTCCCCAAAATTTCTTATCCCTTTTTTCAGATAGATCTCTTTTTGCATTAATCACCTTATCTCTTGTATCACTGTTGTTTGCGTATATCTCCTCCCATCCCACTCTCACCCAATCTTACTTTTGTCTACATGATCACAGAATCAGAGGAGATCTTCAGAAATCATTCAATGTAAACACATTTTATAAATAATTAAACTGAGGTCTAGAGATGTTGAGGGACTTGCCCAAAGTTGCACAGCCACTTTGTGGTAGTTGGGGCACAAAATATCTCACCATTATACTCCCTTCACACTCTATTAGTTATAAATTTCTTGAAAGCAAGGTCTACAGATTATATTTTATCTTTCCCAGTGCTGTATACTCAGTAGGCACTTGCTTAAACTGGATTAATCAAATACCTTCATGAACCTTTCACTTATTCTTCAATTCTTTCTCTCTGGCCTGTCATATCATTTTGTGGCTCTCTAATACTGTACAGCTTAGTTATTGCATAATACACGGTTTTTGAATATTTGTGTATGTGGTCCCTGCTAAACTGGAAGTTTTGGTAGGAAATATGTTTTATTTATCTTTGTACTCTTGCCTACACCTAGCACAATTCTTTGCAAACAGTAGATTTAATGACTGTTGAGTTAACTTAAGAGGATTTAATAAGTGTGCCGAACAACAGAATCTAAAATTACCAAAGCATAAGAAGAGGAAGGGACTTAATATAGAAAACTCTTTAAAGCTTCCAAGACTGAATGAAAACATTAGAAAAAATGTACTTGTGATAAAAATTTATTGAATTATATATTTTTAAGGAATATTTACAAGTCAGGTTAATCTGAGGTATATCATGAGTCAATTATTAGCATCAAGTATGCATTCTGTAGTACAGGGTAAAATCCTGAAATAACATCCAAAGTCCTTTTGTCCTAGTGGAAGGTTTTTGCTCGTAGTTTCTCCAGTGTTTTCTGCAGGTAAAACAAAACTGGTCAAAAAAGATTTATTTACCCTTATACAAATAATCACATCTCAGTCTGACCTAGCAATCCTATAGCAACTTAAACAGAAGTTAACTTACCCCAGATATCTAAATCTGTTCTGCATGCAGAATTCATCTAATGTTTATATGACAAAGAGAAAACAGGCTCAGAGATGTAAGATGTAAGACCCTAGGTCACATAGCTAGTTAACAGTAGAGCCTGGACAAAATCCCTCACCTCCTGAATCAGTCTATTACTTTCCTTTGTTGTATTACTTCTCTAAATAACCTGTAACCACAGGGTAGCAGTACCACAAGAAGCAGGTTGATTAAGCTGTCAAAATACTTGACTTCTACTACCGTATTCCTTTAAATATAAGCAGTATTCCTAAAATGAGATCTCACTGAAAGGAAAAAATGGTGCACCAAAAAAGTAATCACTCAAAACTACTACACTGTACTTGCAGAACTGCCCTATTTAAGGAAACCCATTGCTTTTTCCTAAAAGCAACTGCTTTATGTCTATAGGGGTAGAGGTCACACTCATACTTTGTTAGTCATTACTCTGCTAATCATATCCTTCAGGCCAAATAACCATGTTTCTACCATAAGAACACTCCCAATCAAATTAAGCAAAGAATCCCAAACCAAAACCTAAACTTGAAAAAGCAATGTCTTGCTAGTCATTTCACCATTAATATGTTCCACCACAATAGTGATAAGGTCTAACTTGCCCATTTTCCCTTTCCTCCATTTTTCTTAAGTAAATTTTTTTTTGGGGGGGGGCAATTGGGGTTAAGTGACTTGCCCGGGGTCACACAGCTAGTAAGTGTCAAGTGTTTGGTCTGAGGCCAGATTTGAACTCAGGTCCTACTGACTTCAAGGCTGGTGCTCTATCCAGCGCGCCACCTAGCTGCCCCTCTGTAAGTAATTTTGAATCCTACTATCCCTGACTCCACTCTCTCCAACACAAGCCAAGAAGCCATGTCAGGGCTAAAAATAAGCACAAACCTCTCCCTTCTCTCTCAAATCATTCTCATATAACTGACCCCTATCTCCCTCGCACCATTTGGGCTGGGTTACAAACTGTCAGGCAACGTATACTAGAGTTGTTTTTTCCTGCATATAAAATATTTAAAAGCCTCCCAGTGTGTGATAATGTTTGGGTCCCCAATATCCACCAGTAAGCTAACTCCCCCCGACAAATTACATTTAATTTTGAATATAATTTGTATATACTTATATATGTACTTACTCTCCCCTAGTAGAATATAACCTCAAGGGCAGAAACTGTTCCATTTTTGTCTTTTACAGCCCTATGCAGTACATGGCACATAGTGGGTGTTTAATGCATGCTTGCTGAGTAGAACTGAATTAGACTTTATCAGCTAAGAAGGCTAACTGATCTGTGGCAGCTGACACTGTTGATCCCCCTTTCCTCTCGATATTCTTGTTTCTGAATTTTTACCTCACATTTCTTTTCCTGGTTCTCCTACTGTTTGTCTGAACATTGCTTATCAGTTATCCATAACAAGCTTCCTAACTGCTGGTGCTCCCCTAGACCTTTTCTTTTTATATAAAATCTTTCACTGAATTCCATCAATTCCCACAGGTTTATTTATCATCCCTATGTAGACAATTCACAGGTGTATATATTTAGCTTTAGCATCACCCCTGAGTTTTAATCCTGCACCAACAATTACCTATTTGATTTATCAAACTAGATTGATCCAGAGACATCTCGAATTCAACTTGTACAAGAGAAACCTCATACGTCCTTCCCTCTAAATCCATCCCTCTTCAAAACTTCCTGACTTCTGGCCAAGGCATTACCATTTTTCCAATGTCCCAGGTTAATAACTTTGGTATTATCTTCAACTCACTTTCCCTAACCCCACATCATTCCATTACTAGTCCAATCTTGCCATTTCTACAACCAAAACATCTTTCCCATCAGATCCCTTCTTGCTTCACAGTTAAGACTGTAGTTCAGGACCTAAACACCCAAGTCCTTCGTATTCCAAGCCATTCTCTAACTGCTGCCAAAGTAATTTTACTTAAGCAAAAATCCTGTAGTCACTCCTTATTCCATAAATTCCAGTAGTTCTTATTGTTTCTGGAATCATACATAAAATTGTTTAGCTTTTAATATCATTCACAAGCTGGGCCCAACATATTTTTCTAGCCTCTCTGGAAATTATCTTCCCTGCTTCCCAGGCAGCTAGGTGGCACAATGGATACAGTGCACTGGGCCTAGAGTCAAGAAGGCTTTCTTGAGTTCAAATTTGGCCTCAGGAACTTACTAGCTGTGTGACCCTGGACAATACACTTAAACTGTTTGCCTCAGTTTCCTAAATTGAAAATGAGAAAAATAATAGTGCCTATATCCCAGGGTTGTTGTGAACCTCAAATGAGATATCTGTAAAGTGGCTAGCATAGATCCTCAAATATAGTAGGCCTTCAATAAATGCTTGCTTCCTTCCTGCTGAACACGGGGATCCAACCCCACCAGCCTTCTCTCTGTTCCACACATGTGATACTGTCTCTAGAGTTTAGCATTAATCAGCCCCCATACCTGGAATGCATTCCTTTATGACATCTACCTTGAAGTTTTCTCTCTTCTTTCAAGACACAGCTAAACCATCAACTTCTACACGAAGAGTTTCCTGATTCCCTAACTGCTAATGCTCTCCCTTCCAAACTACCTTGTATGTATTTTGCATATACATACATGAACTTCTTGTCTCTCAAATCACAATGTAAGCTCCTTGAAAATAAGGACTGTTTGTTTGTATTTGTGCTATCACCTAGCATAATGCCTAGTACATAACAGGCACTTAAAAAAAGCACTTAATGATTGCTTGATGCAATTTGAAAAAAAACAAAAAAAACTCTGATATTTTGGTTAGTATTATAAGAAATGTTTAAGTTAATTTAGGGAAACACTGTCACTTACTCTGTGTCAATCCAACTCCTCCATGAATACCGAACATTTATACCTGTCCTTATTGCTTACTGGTCCTAGTTATTGCTAAGATCAAACCTTTCTGAAGGTTTTAAATGTGAGTGCACAGGAGAGGTGCTTCTACTGTTTTCTTGATCTTTTTTATTGCTAAAGAATGAAAATTATTTTGGTGTTAATTTTGTATCCTATGAGATCAGGACAAATTCTCTATTAATGTCTTTAGTACTTTCTAGATTTTCCAGACGAACTATCATATCCTCTGGACATAATAATTTGACTTGTTCATTTTCAGTATTAACTTCACTTTTTTGCCTATCTTTTTATTATCTGCTAGAGAGGTGGCCTCACAGCCATGATTAAATTGGGTTCAAGTCCCACCCTGACCTCTACTGTCCTTGTATACTGGCTTGGGCACTTGCCCAGGCTTATCCTCTCAGTGTTTCAGGCAACTTTAAAACTTTAAATTGTAGGATAGTGGTCAATATGCACTACTAGTGAAAGTTCTCTCCTGAAGTGGATGAAATCGGATCCAAAAGGGGGGGGGGAAAGAAAAGGCACTTGCTAGCATTTCCAACTTTGTAAAATAAAAGTGAGCATTTTGGGGCAGCTAGATGCCACAGTGGATACAGCACTGGCCCTGGATTCAGGAAGACCTGAGTTCAAATCTGGCCTCAGACACTTAATACTTACTAGCTGTGTTACCCTGGGCAAGTTACTTTACCCCATTGCCTCATGCCAAAAAAAAAAAGTAGTGAGCATTTTGTATGTGACCTATGTTTAGTGAGAATATTTCTAATGTTTCTCCACTGTTCTGGGCTTAAGTTAGATACTTCTTATTCTGTGGGCCTACATAGTCTTTTTTTCCTCCCAGCTCTGCCCCTAACTTTGACTTCAAAGACCTCTTCCAGACTTCAAAACCACGTCCCTTCTGCTGCTGGTTCATCCCTCAACTTCCCTCCTACCTCAGGGACTTTTACCCCCGAACAGCTTCACTGCAAAGCTCAACCCTTCTCCTATAGGTGAATTCCTCTTGTAGTCTTTATTTGGTGAAGGGCCTCATGGTAGCCTGCCTTTGTTCTGCTCCTGACTTCTGACTTCCTTAAGACTACTATATTTTGCAAAAGGTACTTTCTTCTCTTTACCCTACTTTGTGTGTTGTTCAACAATAGCATATAAGGTCCTTGAGAGTAGGGACAGGCTTTCATATGGTAAGCACTTAATAAAAGATTCCTTCCTTCCTCACTCTGCTCCTTCTGCTGAGCAAGTTGTTTAGCTGGAATTCCTGGGCCTGTTCCTCTCTTCATGGCTCACCTTCCAAATGCTAGGGCTAGTTCTCTCCTAATCCACAGCTGGTTCTCTTCTCTGCTTCCAAGGGGTATCAAAGCAGCTTCCTGTCTCAACTCTCATTTGTCTTGCTCCTTGCTATATGTGGCAAGTAGCTCTACCTAAGACATGTGGCCAATGCATAAGAGGAGGCTTACCTTTAAGGTAAAGAATGATTGCTTCCCAAGAGGTGAGTTTTTACATGTCTTTTAGAAATCTGTTTATGTTTCCTTTGTGCCCATGTTAGCTTCTTACAACAATTTCCAAAAAAAGTCAATGAAGAAGTATAAGAAGAGTGTGGGCAGGCTACAACACATTATGAACAAGAAAATATGCACCAGAGTTGTATGAGATCAAAGAAAAATGCTATGAATCAGATGGGCTGATCCTGAGGTGAAAGCAAGGAATGACTGATGAACTGCCCATGTGGTTCATTTCATCTCTTGTGATATCAAAAGGAAAACAAGAAAGTATATAGTAGTGAAACCATGGGAGGATATGGACAATCTCATAGGATGTGAAGGCACGTACGTGACAGTTGCAATCTACATCACTTAAAGGAACATCTACATCAATAAGATCACGGATGTATGTATCTGAGGCTTTCAGAATGTCATTCTTGAGATCTTTCCACATATCCCAGATTGCGTGCCCTACAGAATTTTAGCTGATAGGTTTCTATCTATTCTCTGAACTCTATGCAATTCGCTTTTCCCAAATCTAGGGTCTGTGTTAGCATATGACTAAATTTCCTCTTCATAACTACCACAGCTTCTAAGATTTCCCTGCAATGTAACCATCATTCCATCCCAGCAACATTCTTCTTCGTTGGTCACAATAAGATTCAGAGTAGATATTTCCTACACTGACTGCTCTACTTTTTGGGAGATGAAATGATGATGAAAACAAGTCAAAATTATGCTGTTTTTGTCTTACTATTTCCAGTAAGTGTCACCATAATTGAAGTCGCTTACCCCTACAACATTATGCCTCCATGTCAAGCCCTTGATGTTTCCTAAATGCATCTATTTCCTTTCTGCCCAAATTGAGATTTAGTATCCTCCTACGACAATATAACTTTGTTTTTGCCTCCATTGATCTTCATTCAAGTACTTTCCTCTTCTAGTCCTTAAATTTTCCTGCCTTGATCCACTCTATTCTTCCCTATCTTGCTCCTTTTGAGTAAGCTGTATCATTCTAGTCATATTCCAGTCATGGGTTTCATACATATCCAGTAAGCATCTTGTTTTTTTTTTTTTTTTTTGGTGAGGCAACTGGGGTTAAGTGACTTACCCAAGGTCACACAGCTAGTGTCAAGTGTCTGATGTCACATTTGAACTCAGGTCCTCCTGACTCCAAGACTGCCCCTCCAGTAAGCATCTTAAACTCAAAATGTTCAAAATCAAACTTATCTTTTCTCCCTAAACCTGATCTCCCCACCAACTCTCCTATTGCTGTTTAGGGCAACCACCCTCCTAGTCCTCAGGCTCATAATAACCTAGGTATCATCTTTGACTCCTTACTATCCCCTAGATGAGCAAGATACTCCACTTCTCAGCTGTGACTGTACCACAAGCCTGGAATGCTTCCCTTCTTCATCATCTCCACTTACTGGCTTTAAGTCTCAACTACAATCCCATTTTTACTGAAAGCCTTCTCCTAGACTCTTAGTTCTAGTGCCTTGCCTCTCTCTCTTAATTATTTCCTATCTACCCTGTATATATCTTGTTTGTACATATTTGTTTGCTTGTTGCTTCCTGTTAGACTGTGAATTTCTTGAGGACATAAGTATTTTTTTCCCCTTCATTCAGTTTTCTTGGCAAAGATCCTGGAGTGGTTTGCCATTTTCTTCTCAAGCTCATTTTACAGATGAAGAATTGAGGCAAACAGGACTAAGTGATTTGCCCCGAGTCACACAGTTAGTAAGTGTCTCAGGCCCAGCGCTCTATCCACTGTGCTACCTAGCCATCAACTGAGACAAATAGGGTTAAGTGCCTTCTAGTAAGGCACTTAAGTGTTTGAGGCCAGATCTGAACTCAGGAAAATGAGCTTTCCTGATTCCAGGGCCAGTACTCTCCATCGTAACACAGTTGGCCTTCTTGAAGACAGGTACTGTTTTTTGCCTCTTTTTGTACCACTCCACCCCCCACCCCCTGCACTTCACATAGTGCCTGACTTATCCCTGAAGGATCTGACAAATCCTTGAAGAATAAATAGCTACTGCTTACTTAGAAGATCCAGTTTCCTACTCTTCGGGAAGAGTCTTATAGTTCCCTTGTAACTGTTATTTCATAAATACAGCAAAATCACATACAGTACTAAATAATCAAAAGAATGTTATACCTACTCATGCTTCCTAATCCTTTAATAACACACATTACTTGTTTGCTGTCTATTATCAATCAACTATTTTTGCAATCATTAACAAGTCATGAATATACACTCACATTAAATAGCTCTACTTACCTCTTCCTACCCAAGAATAGTTACCTCTTGACCATGACATGTAGCTGGACAACAGATTTTGTGAACTTGGGCTGTATGTATAAGGGTGTATGTAGCATCCAGAACATGAGAAGAGATGTTACAGTATGTGGTTCTGGTCAGACCACGTACAGAATTCTGTAAGGAGTCTGACAAACTGCTGCATACCCAAAGGAAGGTTACCAAGATGGTAAGGAGAATCAAAACCATGCTACACTCTTAAGAAGTAGGTATAGGAACTGGAGATGTTAAACCGTAGTAAACTTATTTTAAGTGATCAGGATGTAGAGGAGAAAGATTAATTCATTTTAATGGGATGTTAAAAGAATAGAATTAGCTCTGCCACACAGAATACTATGCGAAAGGATTTTTATCACAGTATTCTTACTGAGGTATTTTGATTACAGAATAGGATTAAAGGACAAATTTTCAAGAACATACCCTGTGAAACTCTTTTGCCCTTTCTCTATTTCTAGCATAGGCTTCTTGTCTTGATTTCTCTTCCTTTTGTTGTCTCACTTCAGCTAACTGATTATATAACCTGGAAAAAAAGATGAGATTTAGATAGTATCTTATCATCATATGCAAATAAATTAGTTATTTTAAAATTAGCAAAGGTAACTAATATAAACTCAGAAGAAATTTTCCCTAAGAGTATCCCTACATTCCTTATTTTAGGTTGAATTTGAGATTTTATAGTTACAGGGACTTCCAGTCAGTCTAACTAGTCTACTAGTTTAGATTGGCACCTTCTCTGCAAATTTCTTTATCCCCTAGAACACATGGCCTTTCAGTCAGAGAATTTAATGATATGTGTAAGAAATCTTTTAAGATATAAAGATGAACACTATTCATAATTGTCAATTCACACCCATTAAGGGATGGCTTATAAGGATTTAATGTGTCCATAGTCAGTTACTAGTCACACACACACACACACACACACACACACACACACACACACACACACAAAATTTAGAAACATTCATTCTTGTTGAATAAGCTTTTCTTTAGAAAAGTTATGTCACTTCCTTTGATAGGAAGACCTATGTTTTTGCTTTAGTTTTTGACTAAAAGGTATACTTGGGCTCTGACATAGTTTTTTTCGACAGGAAAAGATTTGTTAGAATTTATTGCTTAACTTGACAAAAAGACTTTTAACTTAATTGAGTTCAACCTCAAACAGAAGTAAAACTTCAAATGAGATGAATGAAATAAAGAAGTTCCATCTCATTATGATGGAATAAGTTTTAGGAATTAAGCTATACTTTATTCTTTTCCTCTCTACTATAAAGCATACCTTAAAGCCCGCTGATGCGTAAGTGTTTGTGCAGTCTTCCTATCTTCAGGGAAACACACTTTAACTTCATTCACTTTCTTCAACTGATTTATTGTTGGCTCTGTTGTGGGCGGGGGGGGGGAAGGACACAAAAACAAAAATAAAACACTGTAGGTAAGAAAGAAAAAACTACACAAGAGGGAGGCAGATAATACAAGACTGATAATAACAGTTATTATACTGGATAACAGTCAGGATCCCAAAAGAAGTACAGGTTAGACTGATGGACTGAATCTAGCATAGATGATATTTATTAGGAATATATTATGTAAAATGCCACACTTGGGTTCAACTGCACAAACAGGATGGGGGAGGTTTGGTTAAAGAACAATCCATTTTAAAAACTTCTAGGGGATTTAAACAGATCAAAATCTCATGAGCTAACAGTATGACATAGCAGATAAAATAACTAATTATAATCTTAGGCTGCATTAATAGAAGTACAATGTCCAGTACTAAGGATATGCTAGTCTTGCTGTATTCTACTCCGATTAGAAAGCATTTATAGTACTATGTTGAATTGTGTGTGGGTGTCACATTTTTGGAAGAAGTGCATCCAGTAGAAGGTAACCACATCAGTGAGAGGACTAGTGACCATACTATCTTTAGACTGGTTGAAGAAACTAGAAATGTTTATCGTGGAGAAAAGAAGGCTTTGGGCTTGGGGGGTGGAGGATAAGGGAGGAGAGAAAAGAGGTGAGGGAGAGGGGAGAAGCATAGCACAGAATTAGGTCATAGTTATCTCTAGGTTATCATTTAGAAATGGGATTACACTTGTTCTGATTGGCCCCAGAGGGAAAAATCATGTACTGTATAGAGGTTTCAGAAAGACTGATTTCAAGTGGATAGATTTTCTGTTTACTTGAAATGAAAACATTACTAAAGATATTTAGCCACCAACATCTATCTTCAGCTAAGCAGTTACCACCCAATACAGTGAACAATTCTGACAGTACAGATAGTGTTCCACATCAGTCTTTCACATCTGCAAAGGGAGAGGCAGGAAGCCTTTTATATATAATCAGAAACCAAACTGTGTTTTTCTATCTTACTTAAGAATGATCCCAACCTGCCTGTGACAATCTAGGAAACATACCAGAAGGCTTTCTCTCCACTGGGTGCTTTTTACTTTCAATTTCTAGAGCTGATTTAGGCTGAGATTTTCCAGAAGTTTGAATTTTATTTTCAATTTCTTTTTGACTTTTTGATGATTGTTCAACGAATGAATTATTCTTCTTTACAAACACTTCTTGTAAACTTCCTGGTGCAGAACTAAATTCTTGGAATGTGTCTGTCAATCAAGCAATAAGTATTTATTAAACATTTACTCTGTTCTAGGTACTGAGAATATAAGCACCAAGAATGAAATAATTCCTCCCTCACAAGGAAAGTATGTTTTACTGGAGGGGACAAGTATCTAACAATTTCATACAACATAAATGTAAGATGGAATACTACATGTATAAGGAACAGAAAGGAGGTCAATTTGCCTAGCTTGCAGGAAAAAACAAAGGAAAAATTTCAGTGCAGACATTTGAAAATCTCTTTGGATAGAGAAACATGCTCTTTATTTCATATATGACAGAGAACTTCCTAAGACTTTGCAGATAGGATAACTCCTGTTCACTTCTTTAGATTTGTGTGGGAACAAATGATCTTGACAGAAGGAACTTAGCACTGTTACAAATTACGAAGGGATACCTCCCCAAAACTTAGAAACTTCAGGGGTAAGGCAATGTCCTCATCAGTGCTGCCCACTGATGGCAATGGCTTCTGCTAATAAAGGCAGATTTAGTAAGCAAACAGTAAGCATCTAAATATATGCCTAGCTTGAAGATGGATGTTGGTGGCTGAATATCTTTAGTAATGTTTTCATTCAAGTAAACATAAAAGCTATCCAGCTGAAATCAGTCTCTCTGAAACCTTTATGCGTAGTTCCTAATTTTTCCTTCTGGGCCAATCAGAATAACTGCCTACTATGTGCCAGGCAACTGTGCTAAGAGATGGTTATATACAAAGAGGCAAAAAATAGTCCCTGCTCTCAAAGAACTTACAATCTAATGGAGGAAAGAATAAGTAAACAAATATGTACCAACAAGATATTTATAGGAAATAATTAACAGAGGGAAAGCACCAGAATTAAGAGAGGATTCCTATAAAAGATGGGATTTAAACTGGGTCTTGAAGAAAGCCAGAAGGTGAAAATGAGAAGGGAGTACGTTCCAGGCATAAAGATAAACAGAGAAACGTCTTGTTTATGGAATAGCCAGGAGGCTAGTGTCACAGGATTGAAGAATATGTGGTAGAGAGTAAGGTGTGAGAAGACTGGAAAAGTTGGGGGCAGGAGCCACGTTGTGAAGGGCTTTGAATGCCTAGAAGATTTTGAATTTGATTCTAGAAATGATAGGGAACCACTGGAGTTTGGGGGAGGGAACAGAGTTTGACATGGTCAGATTTATGATTTAGGAAAAACACTCTGGGAGCTGAAATAAGGATGGATTGGAGTGGGGAGACACTTTCCACCAGAAGGCTATTGCAACAGCATAAGGGTGAAGTGATGAGGGCCTGCATTAGGATGATGACATTATCAAAGGAGAGAAGGGAAGTATTTAAGAGATGCTGCAAAAGTGAAATCAATAGGCCTTGGCAACAGATTCAATAGTGGGGACAGAGATAGTAAGGAGTTAAGGATAACACCTAGGAGAGGGGTTAGACTTTATGTGCATAGCCCCAGATGGCAGAACTAGGGGCAATGAGTGCAAATTACAAGAAGCAAATATAGGTTTTATGTACAGAAAAATTTCTTAACAACTAAAACTATCTAACAGTAGAATGATTGCCTTAGAAAGTAATGAATTCTCTCCACACTGTAGGTCTCCAAACAAAGTCAGCTATGATGTACAAATGTCATTTCAGGTATGGGTTTGAATGAATGTTCCTTCCAACTCTGACACTTGGTAAAAAAAATTTTTTTAAGAAAAATCCAAGTGAGCAAAGCTGTCAAATTTTTTTCTTTTTAAAAATGGTTCCCACAATAACTAAAATTATATTGCAGGATTTTATTTTTCTATTAATTTATTTTTAATTTAAAACTTTTTATTTTTAGGCAATTGGGGTTAAGTGACTTGCCCAGGGTCACACAGCTAGTAAGTGTCAAGTGTTTGGTCTGAGGCCTAATTTGAACTCAGGTCCTCCTGACTTCAAGGCCGGTGCTCTAAATTTATTTATTTTTAATTTTTAACATTCACTTCCATGAGATTTTGAGTTCCAAATCGTCTCTCCACCTCGTCCCTCCCCTACCTCAAGACAGCGTGCATTCTGAATACCCCTTCCCTTAATCTGCCTTCCCTTCTATCTCTCCCTCCCCTTCTCTTATCCTCTTCCCCTTCTATTTTCCTGTAGGGCAGGACAGATTTCTATACCCCATTGCCTGTATGTCTTATTTCCCAGTTGCATGTGAAAACAATTTTTAACATTTATTTTTAAAACTTTGGGTTCCAAATTTTCTCCCTTCCTTCCCTCCCCACCCATTCGATACAGGTTATACATGTGGTCATGCAAAACACTTCCACAGTAGTCAAGTTGTGGAAAACTAACTATATCTCCCTTCATCCTATCCTGCCTGCCGTTTATTCTACTCTTTCTTTTGACCCTGTCCCTCCTCAGAAGTGTTTGCTTCTGATTACCCCCTCTCCCAAACTGCCCTCCCCTTTATCATCCCCCTGGGTCTCCTATCCCCTTCCCCTTCTTATTTTCCTGTAGGGTAAGATAGATTTCCTCAAGGGAATTCAATATGATTATTCTAGTGGCCATATGGCCTTGTGATTATCACCAAAGGAACTTCTGCAGTACATGAGATTAAATGGTATAATGAATAAAATGGACTTGACCTGGGTTCAAATCCTGTTTTTCCCATTTACTAGCTATGTGACTGTGGACAAATAATTGAATTTCTGTCTCATCTGTGAAACAAAGGGGGCAGAATTAGAAGACCTGTAAAGTTCCTTCCACCTCTAGATCTAAGATCCTGTGGTTACCTGGATGCTGGAAGGAGGATGATGGTCTCTCCTCAGGAGGTTCTGTAACAGTTAAATCTGGTTTCCAAACTGAGGATTCTTTCAACTCTGAATCTTGTTTCATCTAATAACAAGAATAAGTAATGTTTTTTAGACCTCCAGAAAGGGTAAAACATCTCTTTCTACTGTCCTCACAGGTGAGAACACCTTTTGCTAATAGCACGAGCATACAAAATAAATATTCAATACAAAATAAATATTCAAAACATAAGCAACCAAGGACAATCCCAAATATTGGTGGTGGTAATATTAGTAATAATAGGTAACATTTACATAGTACTTGAAGTTTTGTAAAGCACTTTACATTTGTTTTTTCAATGGATCCTCACAATAACTCTGACTCATAATCAACTTGCAGTAAACTAAAATTCCACCTTTTCAGATAAATTGTTAACCATGGCTTCCCCATCATGTCTTACAAAGATGATCTTCTGAAACCAAAATGATTTTTAAAGCAGTTTTTGTAATATTATTATATATGTAAATATTATATATTTATTATATTAAGAAAAGATCTTTTTATTTCTAAAAATCTAGTTTTCCTCTTCATATACTATTCTCCCACTCCTAGCTGATGTATTTTTTACTTGTCTTATGATTTTATTATTATTGAAAATGTGAAGGAAATGACAAAGTTAACTGGTATTCAGGCCCCACTTTTGTTATACTTTGTGGAAGATCTTTATTATAATGTTATGTCAGTCAGCTGATTAACCTCTAATGCTTTCAGAAACTCTGCCAATCACAGTGGAAAAACAATGGGTGGGATTTTTCCACTGGCCAACTTGAAAACTGTACAATAGTTCTGTATAATGGTAGTAGTATGTTATAAACACATCAATATCAGATTACATTTTATAAATGCAAATAAATTCCTTTACTTCATCAACTCAATAAAAGAACAAAAGAGGTTTTCTGAGGAGGAAGAACATGACCAAATCCATTCATAAGATTATTCTGGCAGTCACAACACGAGCATGACTTGGTAGAGCTAAAAAGGAGAAGATAAAACTTATTGTGTTTGGCCTCAAAGGGAAAAACTCGAAGCAATGGGTAGATGCTGCAGAAAGGTATATTTTGGGTCAATACAAGAAAAATGTCCTGACAATCTGAACTTTCACCAAGTCAAATGAGTAGTGAGTGTTATCCTATTAGAGTTCTTAGAATGGAAATCCAATGACTACTCTATTAGAATGTTGGAAGCAGAGGAGTGCTCAAAGGGCAGAGGATGAAAAACAATGGCCTCAGTGTTTACAACTTTACAAAAAAATTTACATAATACATATTATAAAGACATGACATTCCTAAATGAAAACATTACAATTAACATGAGGCAATGTACATTACATGGCAAATCAGCTGAAGAAATCGTAAACATTTCAGAGGTCACAGTGAGTTGAGGGAGTAAAAAAATTGGCAGGATTTCAGATGGAAAGGGTAGGGGAAATGGATTCCAGATTAAGGAAAAGCAGACCTAAACAAGGTATGGTCTATGTACAATGAAACCAATTTACTTGGAGTAAAATATTTATTCAGAGAAAATAGTGGGACATAAAATTCAGGCCATGGAAAGTTTCTGAATGTTGGAATGACATGATGAGAGTGGTGATTAATTTTGCACTACTATCAGACTACTATACTTCATTGTCATGAGGAAGTTACTCTGGACTATGCCAGTGAAACACAAGATTTGAAAGAATTCAATAGAATATAAAGGTTTCTAGTAAAGGTCCAATGATAAACTGCCCTTTTGTAATGTGAAAATCAGTCAATAATGAAACAAATTTAGTTTGAGTAAAATGTTCATTTACAGGAATACTGGGAGAGCATATTAGAAAGGTTTGTTGTGGTCTGATTATGTGGTACCTTGAATATCATGTCCTACTTACCTAACTCATTAAGTAGGCATCAGTCTATGCTTCACATCTCATTCTGTCATCCGTTTGGTAAATCTTGACATTCTGCCATTAGACCTGCAGTCCCAAGCATAATGGCCCCTATTCTCATACCCCTTTCTATTTCTTGCTCTAGGCAAAGTGGGCAAATTAATATTACTATTCCTTCTGGAAATGACGTCTAATAACTGCCTACAGGTTAACTCACCACAGCAACTGACTCCCAAGAACAAAATGCCTTTACCTGGCCATTCTCCATGTGTGCTGTCTTTACCTACTAAATAACTGTTGTTCAGTCATGTCTGACTTTTTGTAACCCCATGGACCATATCCCTTCACTTCTATCCTTCTATCCTCCACTATCTCTCAAAGTCTGTCCAAGTTTATGTTTGTTGTTTCCATGACACTACCCATCTCATTCTCTGCTGTCTCCTTTTCCATTCAATTTTTTCCAAATCAGTCTTTTCCAATGAGTCCCATCTTCTCATTAGGTGGCCAAAGTATTTAAGCTTCAATATTTGACCTTCCAGTGAATAGACTGAAATAATATCTTTAAGTATTTTTTTTAAAGGCAATTGGGGTTAAGTGACTTGCCCAGGGTCACACAGCTAGTAAGTATCAAGTGCTTGGTCTGAGGCCACATTTGAACTCAGGTCCTCCTGACTTCAGGGCAGGTGTTCTATCCACTGCACCACCTACCTGCCTCAATTTCTTTAAGTATTGAGTGATTTGATCACCTTGCTGTCTAAAGGACTCTCAAAAGTATTCTCCAGCTCTATAATTCAAAAGCATTGATTCTGTAGTGCTCAGCTTTCCTTACAATCCAACTCTCACAGCCATACACTGCTACTAGAAAACCATAACTTTGACTATACAAACCTTTGGTGGCAAGGTGATGATTCTGCTTTTTAATATGCTTTCCAGATTTGCTATAGCTCCCTTCTAAGGATCAAATGCCTTTTAATTTCATGGCTGCAGTTGCCATCTGCAGTGATCTTTGAGCCCAAGAATATAAAATCTGACACTGCTTCCATTTTTTCTTCCTTCACTTGCCAGGAAGCGATGGGACCACTTGCCAAGATCTTAGTTTTTGGGGCAGCTAGGTGGCACAGTGGAGAGAGCACCAGACCTGAGTTCAAATCCAGCCTCAGACACATAACACTCACTAGCTGTGTGACTCTGGGCAAGTCACTTAACCCCAACTGCCTCACCCAAAAAACAAAACAAAAAAAACCCCTTAGTTTTTTTAATGTTAATCTTTTTTTTTTCTCTACGCAATGGGGTTGCCTACATACTACAATGCTAAGAGGTAAGTGCTATCATTATTTCCATTCTATAGATGAGGAAACTAAGGCAAGCAGAAGTCAAATTACTTGTCCAGGGACATAGCTACTAAGTGTCTCAGGCTAGATTTGAACTTAAGTCTTCCTGACTCCAGGTCCCATGCTCTATCCATTGTACCACCTCGCTGTTCCTAAGTTATCAGAAAGTAACCTCCTTTGAGAAGAAACTATCACTTTGTGTTTATATAGTCAGAAAGTGAGTTTCTTCTCAAAAGGAGAACTCGCTCACACACTCTCTCTCTTTGTCCCCTTAGAACAGCACCTGGCACAGTAAGTGCTAAATGAATGCCTAAATACATTCATTCATACAAAGCAATATGAACTTTACACTGTAGGTCACTAAGAGTTTTTAAATATCAGAATGACAGGAAAGAAGAGTGATGATCAGTTTGGAATTCAGGTTTTCCCACTGTATTTTACTGTGGTATAAAAGGTAAGCTGGGTTTTTGAATGTTATGCTGGTGGAACTCAGGCTCTGACAGAATTGAACAAGGTGGATATCCTCTTATAGACCTGATATGGGCTTATCTCTCGGTCATCAGAAAAGCCCCATACTGGAATGCTCTTCCTCCTCACATCTACATCCCGACTTCCCTCAAGAACCAGAAAAAAAATCCTTTTCTCAATTTCCCTTCATGCTAGTGACTTCTCTTTTTGTTATCTCCCATTTATCCTGTTTACAGCTTGTTTGTACAGAATTGTTTTTATGATGTCTCTCCCATTAAACCAGGAACTCCTTGAGAGCAAGGATTATCTGTCTTTTGCCTTTCTTTGGATATATATCATACAACACGTGACTGGCATACACAACAACTGCTTAATAAATGCTTGGGTGACTCACTCAGTTGGGTGCAGAAATCTATCTTATCCAAGAAGGAAACAAGAGGGGAAGGGGATTAGATATGGAGAGGGGAATAAGAGAACAGATTAGGGAAGGCAAAAGCAGACAGAAGCAAAACAGACTTTTGAGGAGGGACAAGACAAAAAGAGAAACATAAACAGAAGAAAACAGGATGCAGAGAAATACACAATTAGTAATCACAACTATGATTGTGAATTAGATGACATAACATGGAATAATTCATAACAGAGGAACAGCAGAATGGATTAGAAACCAGAATCCAGCATTCTGAAAGAGAAAGACACACATAAGGCTGGAGCAGACTCTATTATGATCAACTAAAGTAAAAAAGGCAGGGGTAGCAATCATGATCTCAGACAAAGCAAAAGCAAAAATAGATATAAAATATATATATCAAAGATATAAAAGTGATAATCTGAGAAACATTTCACCAAAAAGTATCATAAACAATGAAGTAACATCAAAAAAAGTTATAGCAAGTTTCTCTGATAAAGGCCTCATTTCTCAAATACATAGGGAACTGAGTCAAATTCACAAAAATAAGTGCCATTCCCCAAATGATAATTAGTCAAGGAACAGGAACAAACAATTTTCAAAGGAAGAAATCAAAGCTATCTATAGTCATATGAAAAAATGTTCTAAATCACTATTTATTAGAGAAATACAAATTAAAACTCTGAGTTATCTCCTTACACCCACCAGAAATGAGAAGTGATGGAAGTGAGGAAGAAAAATAGGTATACTCAAACTGCTGACCCAACTGTTAACTGATTCAATCATTCTGGAGAACAATTGGAACTATGCCCAAAGGGCTATAAAACTGTGTATACCCTTTGACCCAGCAATACTACTACTAGGTCTGTATCTCCAAGAGATCAAAGAAAAAGGGAAAAAAAACCCTTCATGTACAAAAAATACTTATAGCAGCTCTTTTTGTGGTGGCAAAGAATTGGAAATTGAGGGAATACTCATCAACTGGGGAATGGCTGAATAAGCTGTGGTATATGATTGTGATGGATTACTACTGTGCTCTGTGTGTGTGTGTGTAGGGGGGGTTTCAGAAAAAACATGACAAGATCAATATGAACTGATGCAAAGTGAAGTGAGAAGAACCAGGAGATCATTGTGCACAGTTAAGAGCAATGTTATAATGATGATCAACTATCAAAGACTTGATCAATACAGTGATCCAAGGCGATTCCAAAGGACTCATGATGAAAAAATGCTATCCACCTCCAGAGAGAACTGATGAACTCTGAATGCAAAGTGAAGTACAGTTTTCTTGCTTTTTTTTTTGGCAATGTGGTTAATAAGGAAATATTTCGCATGATTTCACCATGTATAATTTATATAATTTTGCTTTCCTTCTTAGTGGGCAGGGGAAGGAAAGAATTTGGATCTCACAATTTAAAAAGAAAAGAATGTTAAAAGTAAATAAATAATCCCAGAGTCAATGACATTCCCCTGTACAATAATGCCTCCCTCAAAGGAAGGAGGGACTGTGAACTCAGGGCTAATCAAGCGGCTGTCCTCAGATTCCAGGGGTGCTTCTGACCTTCTGACTGAAGGAAGGCTGCATCCAATCTCCTAATCCTAGAAGGTTTATCATCCTTTATAGTAAAAATGCTCCAAATGTGTTTAAAAAAAATTCCCTTGATAATCAAACAATCAGTGAATTTCAACAGACTGTATCTTCCAAAGTTAACAAGATTCTTACTATTTTATTTTAGTGACCAAAATTAAAAGAACTAGAATATTCTACTGGCTCAACAGTTTGGTTAATCAATATTTCATGACCACATGCCTGCTGGTCATAATGCTGATGTGTACAGAAGTGTGTGAGATAGAGAAAGAAGACCTTATTTGTGAGGAAAACTACCTGTGGAAGCGGGTCACACTGCTAGTAAAGATAACAAGTAGGACTGACCCTTTATAGCATCCATTTGTTTTGCTTGATAAGCCAAAAGTGGAAACAGAGGTAGCACATACTTTCTTGTTAAACAGTATCAGGATTTCCTAAACACAGCCTTCATTTTCAACATGTTTAATAGTCAGAAAACATATTCCAAATAAATGTCTTATACATACAGATTAAACATATGGTAAATTTTAGAAAAAATTTCACTAAGTTTTTGCCCTAAATTTTAATCATTTTTATAGTAACCTTTAAATTATCTCATGTATTTTCATTTCTTAACATAGGATTTCACAAGGCCTTTTTTTGGATAAGAGAAGATCATCATTGCAAACACCAATTATTATATCATGCTTCATTAGCAGACCACTGGTAATTTCTACTTGTAATCTGTTCTGGGGTAGAAAAGCACATAACAAAAATGTGTTAGAAATGTGTGTAAAATAAGAACAAATTAATTATAATGTAGGGACTTTAGGTCTTCTTACGTGCAAAAAACATCACATAAATTTATAAAACTTTAGAGATGATCTTGCTAATTTCTTAACTCAAACATGCATTCCTTCTTCAATGACTACTGTTATGACATCTATTTTAGTTGCCCACATTTATTTTTGGCTTATTTCCTGCTCTTCCACTGTCAGATAGCTATGCTTGTTATATAAATGAAGTATTATTAAATTAAGTAACTTTGTAAAACTTACCTGAAAACTGCTTTTCAATTCACTCCCATTGTTTTCTTCTTGGATCAAATTTTCCAAATCTGAATCTGTAACACTATTGTCACTGGAGCTGATTAAAGTGAGTTCAGCCTCTTCCATGATACCATTTCCAGATGTGGTCTCCTAAACAGCAATGTAAAGAAGGTAGCTCTTATAAATTATTATTTCTCAAAATAAAATAAAAATTTTAGTATCTATTTATATCTTAAGATAAAATAAACAGGGAAGTTGCCATGGAGCAGGTATGTTTAAAGGAGGAAAAAAACAAACTGGTGTCCACCAAAACACAAAAAAGTCCACAAAAACCCTAACTTTTGGGATTCCATTAATTCCACTGAAATAGTGTGCCAATGTTTAAAAAAAAAAGGAACAGATTAAAAAACAATTCTGTAACCTGAGTAACAGTCTCCCACTAATCTTACTGCCTGTAAAAAATATTTTCTTGAAAGGACTGTGAGGTTTATCTTGGTTTGGCATGTCCACGAGACAGGAATGCTTTTTTGGTTAATATAAAAGTTGTCTAATGCTTGCGTTTTCATACTACAGTGGCAGTGAATAGTTGAGGGAATGAAGGAAAAATTATATCATTTAGGAAAAGAATTTAATTAATAGGATATTAGTGGCAGAAGAATTTTCAGAATACAGTGGAACACAGCAGTTAAGACTATATTAAATAGCTGCTGAGTTACAGGACTATATGGAGTATGAGAACCTATCTTCTCTATCACCTAGTGAATGCAGATAGCAGGAAGTGACAAAAGTGTGTGTCAAGTCAGAAGCAAAATTACACAAGACAGACCTGTCAGTTTCCAAAAGACTGACTTGCTTCAGTACTTAGAATTCAGTCTCAGCAATGAGGATACTCCCTCTCATCAATAAAATTTCTCATCCATTAGGCCTTAAGAAAATTATCACTGTGGGTGGTCAATCCTTAGGTGCTGAACGTAAATATACTCACACCTCGGTCTACATACATAGACTTTCTATCTTAGTAAAACCTGTAAGCCTTCAGAAAAAGCTTTTGTGAGTAGTCACTTCCACCTCACACAGAGGCTTTATCAAAATGAAACTTTGGTTATAGCCATTTGCTCTGACTCCTCAAGCCCAGTTCTATGACACAGAAAGATAAGAAAGTATGGGTTGGAATCTCATCTCTGCTGCTAATTTCCTGTGTGAGCCCAAGACCTCTGACACTAACTGGCTACATAACCACAGCCTCAGCTTCCTTATTTGTAATACACTAGAGATAAAAATACATGTATTACCTATTATAGTGTTGTTAAGAAGGTGAATGGAAAACACTGTGCTACTTTAAAGCATTACAAAAATGTCAAATATTACTTTGAATACATTTTTAAGTCCAAACCTATGATTTTGTCCATACAATGAACTGTCATTAATGATACAGAAGAGCAACTCATTTGTAACTGATACTTTTAGACATGTGCTCAGAGCACTGAGAGGCGATTTGCCCATAATCATAAAACTAATAGGCACTAAAGGCAGAACTTGAACCCAAGTTTTTTGATCCAAAGGACAGCCTACTAAAAGCACTATGTCAAAATGCTGTCATGGCTACCACTATTGCTACTACACTACTACTACGTTGTCGCTGAGTCATGTCCGACTCTTCATGACAGTTTGAGGTTTTCTTGGCAAAAATACTGGAATGGTTTGCCATTTCCTTCTCCAGCTCATTTTAAAGATAAAGAAACTGAGGCAAACAGGGTAAAGTGACTTGCCCAGTCACACAGCTAGTAAGTGTCTGAGGCACTATTTGAGTTCAGGTCTTCCTGACTCCAGGTGGCATTCTATTCACTATGCCACCCTAGTTGCCCTACAATCCTACTAATAAATATCAAAGAAAGAGCAAATAAGTAGGATGCTTCTGCATACCCTGTTGTACCATTGCTTTGATAATAAGAACAAAGCCACCCTTATTGAAAAGCACTGAATGAGATAATATTAAAGCTCAAACGGACTTAAAGACCATCTAGTCCAGAGGTATCAAACTCACCTGTGGGAAATATTTAACAAAATAAAAATATAATACAAGATAGATATAGATAATGTTAATTTGTGGTTTTTAAGGCAATGTACAGCCCCCAGAGGTCCATTTCTTTTTTTTTTCTCTCTCTTTTTCTTTTTGTTTTTGGCTAGGCAATGGGGTTAAGTGACTTGCCTGGGGTCACAAAGCTAGTAAGTGTTATGTGTCTGAGGCCGGATTTGAACTCAGGACCTCCTGAATCCAGGGCCGGTGCTCTATCCAACAGGGGTCCATTTCTGTTTGAGTTTGACATCACTGATTTAATCCATGATGAAAATAAAGGCATAGGCCTTTAATTCTAGGTATTTGAAACTCTAAGACAGATGGCTCACTTGGTTAAAGAGCTTCTTCTGGTTCCAAAGTGCTATGTTGAGATTCATTTGAATAATTCCTTTACCGACTCATGAAACAAATGCAGTTAGTAGCTACTTTTAGGATTTATTTACCTCACTTACCCAAACTGGTATAGAGCTCTGTAATGAACATGATCTGAGACTTATTAAGAATGATGAGGGCAGTGATTGAGGTGTGTTTCGAAAGATCTCCACATCTTCACTTGTTATGGATCCACCTGATCTTTCCAAAAGTGTCTCTGGATCTCTGACCACACACCTACTATTTGTTTCCCTCCGAGCACCTGCAATAACTTCTGTTTGACTTCTCATTTCATAGGATAATTCTTCAAAACCCAAATCCTCCTTTCTGGATTGCACTTGGTCTTTTGTTGAACTCTTGCTTGAAGAAGAATCATAAGGTGTGCTATGTGGCACCCTCATTCTATCAAATAGATATGGATCATCAGAGGAACTAAAAGTTGGGCTCTGCAGAACTGCCCCTGATGGAGATAAATCAGCACTTCTCTTCTGTATTAGGAACTCCTCATCCTGCTTTCTAAGAGGAAATATTTCTTTTTTAAAGTTTTGTGAAGGTCTTTCAGCTTCAATGCTTTGTAAATCAGTAGAATGGCTACTGTCATTTGGAGTAGATTCAGGCTGAAGGGGTTGAAAGGATTCTTCAGACACTGTTTAAAAAAAAGTTTTCAAAAATCAGTTAATCACATATATGTGGTATCTGGAAACACACCAAAACAATACTACTTAAGTAAATAAGTTACATATAGCAAGCAACTCCCAGTATTTATTTAATTTCCTTATGATTACTAATGATGTCCATATATAAGCTATAGATATAGAAAGAGAAGTTTTTCTTAATATTGAAAAGCCAAAGAATTTAGATAGGTAACAATATTTAGTTTTTACTACCCCACATTAACTCTTCCCATCTGAAGAAACATCACACAATCATGCAACTCCATCAGTTATGACCATGAGCTTTCTCTACTAAAACTAATGTTTGAAATATTATATCAAAAACAGTATTCACTGGTTATTAACCTTAAGATTTCTTTTGAAAAGACAAAAATTAAATACTCTTGTGTTTTCACTACAGACACATCAGTACAAACCAAATCATAAAGTGTCCTAAGGAAACCTGCACTTAAAAATATTCACTGTGAATCTATGGGAACAATTTCCAGATGGCCAAGAATGGATAATCAGAAAGAAAATGAAGAGATAATGTGGAAAAGAAGTGTATAGAATAACAAATTGGCCAAAACTAATTCTTTGAAGAGATCCTTCTAAGCTTATGATACTTCATTTGGTCTCAGGATAACCAAGAAATCTTACCAATTAGGTTTTTGTTGAAACTTATTTAATTGCCTAGGTCATACATACCCAAAATAATTTTTTCCTTAGGAAAATCTTCAGTTTTGGAGGAATTAAGAGGGACACCTGTTCTATTCATAGCAGAATGAAAGTTTATATCAAGAGAGGAATGAAGGCTGGCCCTCACAGCTGTGGTGGAGGCTGTGCTTTCATGAGACTCAGATGCATCTTGGCTTTCAGGGGTTGAAGGGTATGTGGTCTGATGGAAACACACACATAAGTTAAAAAAAAATAACAAAAATATGACATAGGACAGCCAATGTGGTCATTGCTATGATGCTTTCACATTAATATCACACTGACAAATACCATATTACCTTAACACAGGTTAATAGAAGAATAATAATTTCCATGTTCAAACACAATTCCAACTTAAAAATCACTACACGAAAATGTCTTTTTTCTAAAATTCTGAATTTAGTGTTCTTGGGACTTAAGGTAAGTTGGAGAGTTTACATTTTTTACAAAGTACTTAAAGTTTTCTTTATTTTTCTTCCCAGTTCTTATTTGCCTGCCTTCTTACAGATCAAGTTCCATCATAATAATAACTTATTTTTAAAAGTTCTATTAATACATAATGTCAAATACCTTGCTCAAGTCTTGAGAAAGTCCAGACTGAGAAAGAGGTGATAAGAGATCCAAGTTAGGGCTTGGTTCCAGAGTATGAAAGAGCTGATGATGTAAATGTGGAAAAGTTTGTTCCAATTCTGTAAAGTCAGGAACAACTGTTAGAATTTTGGGAAATAGAAAAACAGTAATTTCGAACTACTTAACATAAACTCTAAATAAATACTGTGTACAAGATTATGTTGTACTTTGGAACAAGTTAAGTAAAAAAGGAAAATTTTGGTTCCTTCCCCGCCCCCCCTTTAGTATTATCAACAAAGTGATTTGATATAAAGTCAGACCTTCATTATCTGAGCTACTTAAGACTGGAAAAACACTCAATGACCAAAGACCAATGAAGCTCCCGATGCTACAAGTACCAAACCTAAGGATGATCAGAAGATACAGAATCCTTCATATGACCTTTGCTTTTAAAGGGCTCACCTAAGAATCAATTATAAAGTTAACAATAATGAAAAAGGGAACAATAAGTATAAAAGAAGAGGGAAAGCAGAGTTTATCTTTTTTCCCCTAGTAACATACCACCCAGTTCTTTTTCACTAAATCCCTTAAGTTACCACTCTGCACAACTAAGTATCATTGAAGTTGAAAGCTCTAAACAATGACTTAAACAACATTAAAGTACAAGAAACTGTAATATGCCACACCCTGGTAAAATTGGCTCAGGAGACAAGCTGACCCAGGTAGGGTAATCAACAGGCTTCAAACCTATAGGTGAAATTAGAGGGATGTCTGCCCCAAGCAAGCGAAGACTTCCCCTGATGAAATGGGCAAATGAGAAAAACTTGTTCCAACGGCCATAAAAGGTGGTTGAAGCTGGCACCATGGAGCGCTTGGAGCTTAGTCAGACATTGAAAACATCAAGGTCAGCCAATGCATCCTGAGCCATTAACTTTTATCTTGCCACTGGATTCCGATGACTCTGGAAAAGAGAGTGAGGCTAACAACTTTGTGCAGCTTTGCCTCACTTAAATCCAATTCATTTGCAAGTCAAGACATCACCCTGTGATGTACTGGTCCTCTTCAAAAAATGAAGGACAAACAACTAGTCCAGAACTCAAGATTTTTTCCATTTCTCAAACAACAGAATCTTGTCATCCTGAGTTTGTACTACTGGAAAATGACTGAAAATTTTTGAACTTAATTAGAATAGCCAAGCATTTTATATTGTGCCACTAATGCCTACATTTAACTTCTATTACAGACTTTTGAGAGAAAGCATGACAGTAAGATCCACTATATATTGCACTGATCAAATATTTTATACTTCTCTTTCTGATAGGTACAGGAAAAGTATCAGAAAGATAACAGGATGTTATTCTGTATTTACTGGGAAATAGTAAAAGCCCATTTATTATAGTACTAATGGATTTGAAACTCTGTACTAGGCATAAATCAATAATTTGCTTTTGAGATTTAGCTTTAAAAATAAATGTAACTTCATTAGTATCTGATTAAAACTAAAGGTTGATACAACCCTGATTTAGTTGCAAGGTGAAATGGCCAGATATCTGGAAAAATTCTGGGGTTAGAAGGGATAAATTTCCAAAATAAGAATCTCTACTATCCAGATGAAATGGGAATTTATTATTCAAAGAAAATTTTACTGCTTTTCTTTCACTCACAAAGTGTTGAACACAAAGTTGATTGCAGTTACTCCTGCAGAATAAGCTTGTCACTATTTAATAACAGCCTAATATATAATCAGTACTGGCTGACAAACAAGAAAGATACAAAAGTAGTACCTCTGAGAAGCACACAATTTACCAGGAAGGCAGATTTACATGAAAAACTAACAAACAAAAATATTAGTGGCATACAATCAAATGCAAAATTGTGCAACAGGAATTTAGAAAATGCAAAGATCAGTGGAGTCTGGGTTTGGTTAGAGTAGGCCTCATGGAAGTGTGACTTGAACTGGGCCCTAGTATAAGGGATTCACGGTGGCAAGGATGACTAAGGTCATTAAGGAAAAGGGAGGAACAGAATAAACAAAAGAAAGAAATATGCATGGAGAGAGAACTGGCCTAACTGGAGTGGAATGGTTATGTTAGGAAATATTAAAATAAGATGGAAAAGTTACAATAAAGACTCCTGAAGGCCAGACTGAGAATGGAGAAGTTTAACTGACAGCGTCTTAAGAAAGTAATAAGGCAGCAACATACAAAATGGCCTTGGGGAAAGTGAAACAACTATCCACACTAGCATTTTCATTTATTTGGGCTCACATTAATGCATCGTTACCTGAATTTGCAAGATTTAAATAAGTCTTGTCATTACTTAAGAAGCTCCCAGTAGACACTGTTAATGAAGACGACTGGTCATCTTGTAGCTCCTGTGCATGAGACTGGGAAACAAGGTCATTAGTGGACCATGGTATGGAAGACACTATCTAAAAAAAAAAAAACAAAGCAAACAAAAGAACAAGAAATCACACAGCTGTCCATGTCATGAAGTAACCACTGATACTAGTGATATCAATTCTGAGCTCAGTTCAAGTGTAGAAACCTTCACGATTAAAAGGTCAGCAAAAAAGGTGTTTTCATCACTGCACAGAATTGAGTAACCTTAAACACACACATACATACATATACACACACACCCCCCTCACTCAACAAGTCTTACATTTTCACTCACACACTGTACCCCACAACTTTTCTCACAAACTATTCTAACTTCTAATGCTTCTCAGAAACACATACAGATCATGCACCACAAAGACCAAAAGGTCTTGAGATGCTCATATTTGGCTATTTTTCATCACTGATCTACCTCAACGAGAGCAGATCTCAGAAGGCACCATATCCATGGTTTGCAATTTAAACTTGACAAGATAATTAAAAACACACACACACAAATAAAGGTACATGTCTTCAAAAGCTACTCTGTAATATTCCTTATTACTAACCTTTTTTGGCGTAAAAGCTGAATCAGGATATACAGGTACTTTCTGCTTCAAATCAGCAGCATAACTGAGTAAATCATGATTCTCAGTTACAACATCCTTAGCCTGGCCTGAATATGAAAATTAAAAGTAGAATTTTAAGTTGAAGCTCAATTCCATTTCAACTTAATTAAGAAAATATTAAGTCCCCACTATATGTAAGACATTGAACAAGGTGTATCCTATATATTAAGCAGGACATGTATCTAAGGTTAATTCTCTATTATTGCCATGCTGCCTCTCTGTCAACACAAGATAAAAAATAACAGTCCTTACCCACAATGAATTTACAATTTAAAAAGAGGAAAGAATATCCATGCAAATAAATGATCCTACATGAAACAGGACAGTGATAAAAGAGATCTAGACAAGATATTCCAAAAAAATTTAAGGAGAAAGATATTACTTTCAGCAAAGATTTCCTGGAGATGGCAGCTGAATTGGGTTTGAAGGAAAAGAAAAATTCCAATAGGTAGAAAAGAGGCAGTAGTGTATTCCAATTTCGCCTTCAATAAGAAGTCTTTCCTGATCCCCCTTAATGCTAATGTCTTCCCTCTGTTGATTATTTCCCATTTATTCTGTATATATATTGTCTGTACAGTTATTTTTATGTTTCCTCATTAGATTGAGCTCCTTGAGAGCAGGGACTCTCTTTTGCCTTTCTTTGTATCCCCAGAGTTTTGCAGCGTCTGGAACATAAGCAGGTACATAATAAATCCTTACTGACTGACTGAATACAGGATAAGATCAGAGAACATTTTCAACAATGTTCTTAACTAATTAACTCTAAACACACATATGTAACCCAATGAAGAGTCACAGCCTCATTCAGCAATTATCTCACCTTGAACCCTTCCCCTCTTCCTCCAGTATGGTATGCTTGAACACAGAGTATATGAAGGAAGGTAGTATGGAGTAAGGCTGGAAAGAAAGACTTGAGCCAGATCAGGAAGAGTCTTAAATAACTAGTTAAGGAGTTTATATTTTATCCTACAGACAAGAGTCACTGAAGGTCTCTAAATGACATAGATACACATGGGCTATTTTTCTCTTCTTTCTTAGGTTCACAGAATTTTAGGGCTAAAAGGACCAGTAAGTACAACTTAATTACTTATTAATTGGTTATGACTGAATGACTCAGATTTACAAAGCCAGTATGTGTTTAAGGCAGGACATGAACCAATTCTTCCTGATTCTCAGGCTGAATCTCTGTCTACTATGCCAATTAATAAGTATTATTAAATGCATACTATGTGTTAGGAATTGTGATAGGTGCTAGGGATAGCAATACAATAAGACTCAAACTGAAAACCAGGTGGAATAAGAAGCCTTGTGTACTACTTGGAATCTAGAAATGTAACACCAAACAATTCAGTCATCTATAAGTACTAATACTCTCTAGGAAGCAATAAAAATAGACTACTCATGTCAGAAGGGAGGGAAAATGGAACTGAAATAGTATTTGGGAAGTGGTAGGGAGTAAACAATAAGAATTAGGGAAAGGGACAAGGAATAAGTTATTTAAAAAAGGAAAGAAGCAGGAAACTGGAAATAATGAAAAGGCAAAGAAACAGTAGCAATAGGGATACATGGCAGAAATTAACATAAAGGGTGTCTTAAAATGTAGTTACATGTCACAGTATTTTCCTCTATAGCTTGAGAATTATGGTATAGTATAGTCAAGCCTGTGTTATCTAAAACAGCTGTAAAATGAGAGTAATTTGGTAAACTAAGAGTTCACAGAATTACAGATTATGGGTTAGAAGCAATCTCAGAGACCATCAAACCCAACAGTCTTATTTTAGGGATGAGAAAACCGAGCTTCTGAAAAATGAAGTGTTCTACACAGAGCTTCTATTGCTATTTACTGACACTATTTCTTCCTAATCTGTTAAGATGTATGCATTAATCCAAACACTCAACATGTGGTCCAGATATTAGGAGACACAATAATTCCTCCCTTCCAAAATGTGAGTCTATCGGGTAAATAAGATTAGCACATGTGAAGCATATTATAGTTCAGTGCTAAGTAGTATAGTTAAAAAAATAACTGCTTAGAGAAGGGATAGACTATGATTGTGTTTGTTGTGAAGGTAAGGCTTTAGCTGAGCCTTGAAGGATAACAAGTCTATTAATCAACTTATTCATGTCTTACCTGGTTGATACATGCTATCATTACTACTTGTATGAACTGGCTTTGCAGGCTGCTGGCTACTAGCCTGATTACTATCTTGTAATCTATCCTCCAAACTCAGGTATTGGCTTACTGAAATCCTGACAAGATCTCTATCTTGATCAAAAGTTTCTTCATGGTTGCTAGAATCCAAGTCACTTGAAGCTGATTTGGAAGCAGCCTCTCTATAACATTCTCTCTTCTCTGAAATTAAAAATGACTAAATCAGTACACACATAGACAAACATCAATTAATCTATATAGCACAAGATGAAGGTTGGGGGGAGACCAGATAAAAATTTCTGTGAAAAAGACCTTGGAATTTTGGCATCTAACATGAATGAGCAGTGAGACATGAAGGCTATTATAAATCAGGATGATCTCGGGTTATGTTTACAGTAGAATAATGTCCAAAATGAAGAAATCTATTTGCCTTGTTCAGATCACATCTTGGGTTTTGTGTTCAGTTCAGGGTACCACATTTTATAAAAGCATGGGTCAATTTTATGTCCAGAGAAAGGATTGTAGCATAATGAAAAGATTTAAGATTATGTTACATAAGGATCAGCTGAAGAAATCGAGGATGTTTAGTCTAGAGAACAGATAGTTCAGAAGGGACACGACAGCTCTCTCCAAGGATCTGAAGGGCTGTCATGTGGATCTGACATCATGTATGTTCTGCTTTTAGGACTGATGAGTGGAACCTGCAAAGAACAATGTCTTGACTCACCATAAAGGATTTCTGACAATTAGAGAGGACAAATTGTAATGACCTGATCTAGGTGGTGGCAGATTTCTAATAAGACAACTATCTCCTCAACTTGTGGGAATGTAGTCCAGGGCATGCCTGTTTCAAGTATGGGTTCTTCCCAACTCTGAGATGCTTTGATTTAAAGCAATAGATTTCCTTATATACTTGTAGAGGTCACTCAAACTAAAATATCTTAGTTTATAGGGATAAATGAAGCTCTCTAAGACTTTTTGACTCAAGCACCCTCAAATGGTTAACTTAAGTCTCTTAAATTATTGTAATTCACTTTTCACAAAATATTTATGCTATGTCTGTATTCATTGACTCTAAATTTGGTATACTGCATTTCATTTGAAAACAAGACCTGTTAAGCACCTATGTGGCAGAAGTCACTGTATTATGAATAAAGACAATAACAAAACTGTCCTTGACCTCAAGGAGCCTATATTCTGTTGGGGAGAAAACATGCAGTGTATACAGAATATGTACAAAATGAGTAAAAAAATAATTTTGGCAATGAGGGCACCAGGAGCTGGGGGAACCATGAAAGGTTTCCTATAGTTGGTATATGAACTTAGTTTTGAAGGATTCTAAGAGGTAGTAAGAGGAGGAAGTTCATTTCAGCTACAGTAGATAGCCTAAGTCAATGGCATAGGAGATAGGAGAAAGAATGCTGTAAGTGAGAAACACTGAGAAGGTCAGATTGGCTAGGCTATAGAATGGGAAAAGGAGGGTAGCACAAAATGATACTGGAAAGACAGGTTGGGGCCAGGTTGTGAAGGGTTTTATATGTCAAATAGATGAGTTTTTATTTGGTCCTTTAAGAAAGAGAGAGCTGCTGGAGTTTACTGAGTAGAAGAATGACAGACAACAGAAAAGTAAAAAAAAAATTTCAAAAGGGTGAAAAAAAAAAAACTAACTGGAAGAAATCAGGAAACATTTCTTTTGGAAGTGGTACTGGAGCTCAATCTTAAAGGAAGCCATAGATGCTAACTGGTAAAGATGAGGAGACAGTGCGTTCCAAGAACAGGGGACTGCTTGTACAAAGGAACAGAGATAGGAACGGAATATGGTAAAAGCTAGTTTGGCTTGAACACAGAGCGCATGAAAGGGAGTAATATTTAATAAAGCTAAAAAGGTAGATGGGATCCAGATTATGATTGTTTTTGAGTGCTAGACTGGATGGATGCTAGACTAGTCGTTTGTACTTTATCTTAGAGACAACTGGGAAACACCAAAGATTTCTGTGTAGGGTAATTGTAGTCAGGTCTTCTAGAAATATTAAATTGGCAAATACGTGGAAGATAGATTACAGAGGGAAAAAATGGAAACGGGGTGGAAAAAATGGAAAATTAAGTGACTATTATAATAATCAAAGGCAGGTAGGTGGCATAGTAGATAGTGTGCCAGGCCTGAAGTCAGGAAGATTCACCTTCCTGAGTTTAAATGTGGCCTCAGACACTTACCAAGTATATAATCCAGGGCAAGTCTCCTAACTCTGTCTAACTCAGTTTATTCAATTTATTCCGTAAAATGAATTAGAGAAGGAAATGGCAAACCACTCCAGTGTCTTTGCAAAGAAAACCCCAAAAGGGGTCAAGACTGAAAATGACTGAAGAAAAACAATTGTAATAATCCAGAAGAGACATAATAAGGACATGAATTATGGTGGTGACTATAAGTGGAGAAAAGGGAATGTATGGTTTCCACTTCCAGGAGCCAAGATGACGGAGTGAAAAGGTAGTCGCTCTCACCCTCCCCTATCAACCTCTGAAAACCCAGAAAATATCACCCTAGGAAAAAAAAACCGTGGAACAGGTGAACTAGAAGAAAGACGGGGAACAGCAGTACAGCAACCCAGCAAATCGGTCTCCCAGTGCCTCAGCAAAAATAAAGGAAGCAGCACTACGAAGGGCCCCAGGCGGATAAGCACCCTGCAGCATTCATCTGAAAGGAGCTGAAGAAAGCAACCTAGAGTCTTCCTAAAGTCCCAGCCTTGCTGATTCCAACCCAACACCTCCCAGTGTCAACCAGGAGGAGATCCTGAAGCCCAGGTGGTAGAGCAGGCAAACACCAACACCTGGACCTCCAAGTGCCTCAGTGAGGGCGGGGGAACCAGTGGAAACCAGCTCAGAAAACCACCAGGTGCCTTGGCACTCTACTGCAAAGGAATCTCCCAGTGCATTAGCAGAAACAAGGGAGGCAGCATTGCAAGGGGCCCCAGGCAGATAAACACCCTGCAGCACCCATCTAAAAGGAGCTGAAGAAAGCTAAAGGAAAGGAAAAGCAGGCAACCTAGAATTGCCTGAAAGTTCCATCCTTGCTGATTCCAGCCCAACCCAAGGTAAGCTGCCAAAACCCTACAGCCTCCAATTGCCAACATAAGAGGCCCCAGCACACAAAGCCAGTGACCAAGACCTAGGCTCCCAACACAAGAAGCTTGGGTCAGTGCCCTCTGTTCCCCAGCAGGAGAGCTCAATCTCTTTAAAGGCCAGGGAATAAAGAAACCATGAGTAAAAAGAAATGTACCATAGATTCATATTATGAGAAGAGTGAAGATCAAGACAGAAATTCTGAAGAGGACAACATTGTCAACAAACCCACATCTGCAACATCAAAAGGGAATATGAACTGGTCTGAAGCCCAAAAAGCCTTCCTAGAAGAGCTCAAGAAGGATTTAATGAGAGAGGTAGCAGAGTCCTTAAAAAATACAATTGGCCAATTGGAAAAAAAGTACACTGAAGAAAACAAGTCCCTAAAAAACACAATTGGCAAACTGGAAAAAAAAGTACACTGAAGAAAACAAATCCCTTAAAAATACAATTGGCCAATTAAAGAAAGAAGTATAAAAACTAACAAAAGAAGACAATCTATTAAAAACTAGAATTAGACAAATGGCAACTAATGACTCTATGAGAGAGCAAGAATCAGTCAAATAGAAACAAAAAAATGAAAATATGGATGAAAACTTAAAATACCTCATCAGTAAAACAACCAAGCTGGAAAATCGATCCAGGAGAGACAATTTAAAAATCATTGGACTACCTGAAAATCATGATGAAAAAAATAGCCTTTCAGGAAATCATAAAGGAAAACTGCCCTTAAGTCCTAGAACCAGAAGGTAAAATAACCATAGAAAGAATACACCGCTCAACACCTGAAAGAGATCCCAAATTGATAACACCAAAGAATATAATAGCAAAATTCCAAAATTACCAGATGAAAGAGAAGGTGCTGCAAGCAGCCAGAAAGAAGAAACAATTTAAATATCATGGAACCACAGTCAGGATTACACAGGACCTTGCAGCTCCTACATTAAAAGACAGCAGGGTGTGGAACATGATATTCTGTAAGGCAAAGGAGCCTGGCTTGCAGCCAAGGATCAACTACCCTGCAAAAATGAATATGATTTTTCAAGGGAGAAGATGGATATTCAACGAAATAGGGGACTTCCAAACCTTCCTCATAAAAAGACCAGAGCTCAACAAAAAATTTGATCTTCAAGTCCAAGATTCAAGAAAGACATAAAAAGGTAAATGAGACACAAAGATACAAAATGCTGTTAATAAGGGTAGACTGTTTACATTCCTACAAGGGAAGATGACACTTGCAATTCTTGAGAACTGTATTATTATTATTACACCATGTTAAAGGAGTATACATAAAGGGGGTAGATATTAGTTGACTTTGATGTAATGATTAAAAAAACCCCATCTAATCAAGTGGGTTAAATGGATCCAAGTAAGTGGATTAGTCTGATCTTAGAAAATGTACTCAGAAAGGAGGAGGCAGACAAGGGTAAATTACATTACAGGAAAAGACAGAAAATCCTATTACAGCAGACGGAAAGAAGGGAGGGGGGTGAGCATCGTCTGAACCTTGTTCTCATCAGATTTGGCTCAAGAAAGGAATAACATGAACCTTGCTCTCATCAGATTTGGCTCAAGAAAGGAATAACAATCAGTTAGGTATGGAAATCTAACTTGCCCTATGGGCAGTAGAAGGGAAATGGGGAAAGAAAAGGGAGGGGGGATGGAAGGGAGGGAAGAAGCAGTGAGGGCGAAGGGGAAGAGGGGGGAAGGGGAAAAAAGAAGGGAGGAGAGACTGAAGGAGGTGGTGGTCAAAAGCAAAGTACTGGGGGGGAAGGGAGAGAGGAGAAAGAAAAGCATAAACAGGGGGAAAAAAGGATGGAGAAAAAGACACAGTAAGCATAACTGTGAAAGCTGAATTGCTATCTTTTTTTTTTCTTTCTCTTCTGTTGAGTTTTGTTTCCTCTTTCTGATGGTTCTGCCTACCAGTTTAACTTTTACTTACCACTTCACTAATGTGAAAATGTTTAATAGGAATGTAAATGTATAGCCTATATCAGATTGTGCACTGTTTTGGGGAGGGAAGTGGGAAGGAAGGAGGAGAAAAATTTTAAACTCAAAAGCATATGGAAGTGATTGCTGATAAATCAAAATAAATTAATAAAATATGCAAAAAACCCCTAAAAATAAATAAATACATACATAAATAAAAGAAAAGGGAACGTATGAAAGGCATTATGGATGGCGGCAGAGTCAACTGAATGAATATGGGACAGAGAAGAGTAAATCAAAAATAAAGCTGCAAACTTGGATGAGTGAAAGAATGGTATACCCTCAAGAGAAACACATAAATTCAATGAAAGATGATTAAACTGCAGGAAAGAGAATGGTAATATCAATTTTAACCCTTCATATGCAAAATAAACTACATATTTAAATAGTAAGTTTACTGTAGTCCAAATTCCTAACAGTGGTCAGTTGTAACTGATTTTATTTTTTCATTATGAAGGTGACTTACTTCAAACTAATCCGTTGTTTGTTGGGAGAAAGAAGAGAAAATGGGACAGGACATGAAACTTACAATTCAACAACTGTGGTAAGTAAATATGCCTGGCAATATTTTAATCCTTTATATGGTATTTGAAACTTACCAAATTTAAAAAACTTGATATTAGTGGATGCTTCCTTACCTCTAATAGAAGCTCTGCCAGTTTTTGGTGATTCCACTTCTTGAATAGCACTAAGTTCATGCTGATTTAAATCTAGTCCTGATCTGATTTTTGCTACAGGTGGTTTTGAAAGTCTCTGCCTTAGTTCTCTGTTTTGCAACTGACCTGTCAAACCAAAATATTATACACATCTAAACTTTAAATAGCAGATAATATCAATATGCTATAAATCTTCCACCCAATTAACATGAGGGACAGGAAGCTATCATACTTGAGACAAAAATCAGTAAAATAAAAACAACAAATCACTTTCCTTACCAGTATGCTCATCTGGATTGATGTTTTCTGAAAGCAATTCACCATCATCACATTTACTCTTATCTGCATGACTAAGTTCTTTGGGATGATTTCTTTCTACATCTTGTGGCAGAAATAACTGTGTGAATTGCATTGTCTTTTGTGTTTCTTTCACATTTTGGGGTGCGGACTTATTTGCCTTTAAAAAAAAAACAGAAGGAACTGATCTATTTTCCAGTAGTTTTCTTTCCTCTCCTAATTTAAAACAAAACAAAACTCCACTACCAGAGGCGAATTACGGATCCTACAAACCATGATTCACAAGGCTTGGCACTCTAGTGCCTTCCTATTTCATCAATGTGAAACTCAAAAGCTTCTATCAGAGAAGTACTGGGAGCAGATGATTTTTGAAGGCAGCACTCCAGACTCTTCACTTCCCCCACAGGAAAACTCCAATGCCCCATCAGATAACAAACACTTAGGAGTGGTCTGGGAAGACACATCTCAAGATGCCAATATTCCAACTCGAAAACACTGTGACTGGAACTTTAGAACCAGTTAATGCTTCAAGATATTCTGTGACTAAATCCTACCTACTCAGCATTTCTACTCCCATACCACTTAAAGGTCTTTGCTACCTACCTCTAAATCTACCACTTCCCTAGTCCTCAGTCACTGTTTTTAATATCTTATTGATGTTTAAAAACAATCACCATGATTTTACAATGACCTCCTCCTTTGCAACCCAGTATGCTTAAGTAAAACAAAAACAACGGCCGGATCTGATAACGTATGCCTATCCTACAACCATAGCTTATGTCATTTTTGGATGAAGTAGCAACTAATTGTGGGGTTTTGTTTTGTTAACTATTTGGTCTCTCTTTTTTTTTATTGGATTGCTTAATCCATTTACATTTAAGGTTATGATTATGTTCATTATTTGTTTTACTTTGATTTTTATCTCCTTCCTCTTCAAAACCAGCAAGTTGATCCTATGATTAGTTCTGATTACACTGCTTTGATGTAGACTATCACTAGTTTTTTCCCTTGTTCCCATTTGATTTCTTTTTTTCTATTTATCTGTCATTCCTTTTTTGGGGTGGGGTAGGGTGGGGTGAGGCAATTGGGTTAAGTGACTTGCCCAGAGTCACACAGTTAGTAAGTGTCTGAAGCTGTATTTGAACTCAGGTCCTTCTGACTCCAGGGCTGGTATTCTATCCACTGCACCACCTAGCTGACCCTGTCATTCCTTCTTTAAATTCTTCTCTTTTCTTAGCCAGCTAAGTGTGGGGTTCAAAATCCTTGCCATTATAGAAAGTTTTGAATACTGGCATTGATTTGTACTTTATTTGACAAAAGATGCTGGAAAAGCCACAGGAGGTTTTAGAGTGAAGATATGACATGATCAAAGAGGTAAGCAGCAGCAGTATGAAGAATATATTGAGATAGTGGCACTGCAGAAATAATGACGTTTTATTTTGTCCACTTCCACATCCATGAGTCCTGAAATTCCATTCTCTGATCACAATCTGTTGTCCTCTCTACCTCTACCTTGAAAGCCCAAATCCTGTTCTTCATTCTCACCATGGCTTTCAATCCCTGATCTCTTCAGTTCTTTCCCAGGACATCACCCTAGCACTAGCTATGTTCTCCTTCCTTCCTCATCTTGACCCCTTGGTACACTAGTTCAACTTCACACTGTTATGTTCTCTTGAGTATTACTCTTCTCATCCTCTGCCTTAATTCCTACACACATGCTGCTGAACAACTGGAAAAAAAGATCACACAACTAGCTCCACTACTATAAATGTTACATACTAGGAACTGGGTCTTCACTGAGACAAGGCAATCCTTTGACATCTAATTCATTCACTATCCCACCTACCACAGAGCTTTCCAAATCTTTTCATCCCTCCTCAAATCTTCCATGGCTTCCTCTCCCTCTCAGCTGAAAACTCTGCCTAACATTTTACTAAAGAAAAAATAATTGATGCCTTTCACTGAAAGCTCCCTCTTCATCTCCCATCACTCTGATGCCTCTCCCACACCCCTTTTACCTGTCCAGCATTTAGAGATGGCCCTTCTCCTTGCAAAGCAAATCCCTCTACCTGCACAAATGATCCCATTCCATCCCATCTTATCTAGCAGATTGCTTCCTCTATTATCTCCACTCTCTCATTTATCTTAAAGCTCTTCCTACTGAATGGCTGCTTCTCCAGTGCCTACAAAAATACCCAGGTCCTATTTTCAAAACACCATCACTTGATCTAGCCATCTCTGCTAGCCAATGTCTTGCTTCCCTTTTGGGGCTAAATTCTTTGAGAAAGACTTTTATAACTGATGCTTCCACTTCCTTTCTACTTACTCTACAGTCTGGTTTCTAATCTCATCATTAAACTGAAACTGTTCTCTCCAAAGTTAACAATATCTTAATTGCTAAATTTAATGGCCTTTTCTCAATGCTCATCCTTCTTGACTTCTCTGCAGTCTATGATGTTGTCAGTCACCTTTTTCTTGATACCCTCTTCTCTCTAGGCTTCAAGAGTTTTATTTACTAATGTATCCTATTCTCCTCAGTCTCCTTTGCTAGAATTTATATTAGTCTTGTTTGATAATTGTAGGTATCCCCCAATGTCTATCTTGGGTCCTCTTCTCCCTCTGTATAATTTCACTTAATCATACAAATTTTTATGAATTCAATTATCATCCCTTTGAAGATGATTCTCAGATCTATTAATCTAGTCCTCACCTCCAGACTCTCATCTCCAGCCTTCTACCGGACATCTCAAATGATGTCCTGTTAACATGTGAAACTCAGTATATTCAAAACCTCCCCCCACCCTTTAGAACTTCCCACTACTGTTAAAATCCCCACCACCTTCTGACTCTAGGTTGACAACCTAAGTGTCATTTACAACTCCTCCAATCTGTTGCCAAATCCTGTCGATTCTACCTTTATAACATCTCTTATATTCATTCCCTTCTCTCCTTTGACACTGCCACCAACTTGGCACAAACCTTTATCACTTCACATCTTAACTATCACATCACCATTGAATTCAGTAAATTCCAGTGTTTCCCTATCACCTCCTGGATCAAATCATTTCTACCTCCTGGCTTCCTTCAAGTCTTGGCTGATATGTCATTTCCTACAAGAAGCCTTTCCCAGTTCTCCTTAATGCTAGTACCTTCCCTCTGTTGATTAGTTCTAATTATCACATAAACATGAATGTATGTCTACATGTCATTTGTATATAATTGTCTGCATACTGTCTCTCCCATTACACTATAAGCTTCCTGAAAATAGGGATTGCCTTTTGTCTTTCTTTGTATTCCTAGCACTTAGCAAAGTCCCTGACATATAGCAGGTATTTTATGAATGCTTTTTGACTTGCCTTTTGCCTCTATCATCTCAGTACTTAGCATTATGTCATGCACACAGTAGCCATTTAAAATGTTTTATTTCTTGAAAATCAATTAAGAAATCATTAAAATAATACAGGTGATCAGGACCTGAATTAGGATGATGGTAGGGCAAATATAATGACAACTGAGATAGAGTAACTTCTGTGGACATTAGTGCCAAAGTTCAGTATTCAACATGTATGGGAGAGAACCTTCCAGAGGTAGGAAGTGACACAACAGAGAGGAAAGAATTACTCAAACACAAAGTAGAGGAGCTGCATGGAGTCGGGAAGAGAATAAGGATAAAGAGGCAGTGAGGTTGGAAAGTAGAGCCATTTCCTCACAACAGCAAGAGAAAATATCCCATATGTGGACCAGAATGAGCTAAAGCTGACATACTCCCATGATGACAAGAAGCCACAGGGTACAGGGACACCAATGACTTAGTAGGCCAACAACTGTTGTTTCCAAACCTGGAAGGGTAACATAGGACAATCTTCCAATCTTGGCAGGGTAACACAGGACAGCATCAGAGCACTGGTCTGATACTTGTGATCTTGAGAGCAACCCAATGGATTCTAAGTAAGTCAAAATAAGTACTCACAGGTGACCTTAGTATTTGACAGATGAGGTCAATAAGCCAGGGATGCTTCCAAATTCACAAAGGTGTTGGGATACTATTCTTATTTGTTTTCATGTCAATTAGTGTAATTAAGCCTTGCTCTTGTAGGGTGGAGGGTCTAGGAACTTAGTCCCAAATGTCTCTGTTGGAGGAAATAAACATCTGGGATGGAACCTGGTTTTGTCTTGTCTATCTATGGGTTGTGGGAAGAGGCCAGCTTGAAGCCAATTTAGGTTTTCTATAAAGGAAAAAATTCCTAACAATAATATGTTCAAAAGTGGAATGACCTGCCTCAAGAGGGAGGGGGTAGGTTCCCACTCCTTAGAGATCTCCAAGAAAAGGCTTGGTGATCACTTGTTGCCTGTGTTAACAGTGGGGGTTCTCTTTGTATATGGGTTAGACTAGGTAGCCTCAGAGGTGATTCTGAAACTCCAAGTCCAAGTGATAAATGAAGCAACAAAGGTGCCAAGTGAAATAAAGTAAAGAGAAAAGGGCCAAAGCAAGGAATCTGGGGAACATCCACACATCATTTAATGAAGGAATTGTCAAGAATGATAGATAAACCATATAAGTGTAGTGTCAAAGAACTGGTCATCATTGTCTGAAGCTTCAGAGGCTGAGAAAAAGGAGAAATGAAAAAAAGAATCTGACAAAAGGAGTTTATTAGAAAGGTGAGGGCAAAAGCCAGATGACAAGGGGTTGAGGAATAAGTCGAAGTGAGTGAAGCCTGATTTTTCTAGTAGTCAAGTGGAAGGAAAAAAGAAAAACATTTTGAGAGAGTGGAAAGGTCAGAGGAGACTTTTTTTGGCTAGAGGGAACCTCAACATATTTGTTTTATAAAGAGGAAGAGTTAGGAGAGAGGAATATGCCTGAAAAACAATGGTATAAAATGCTGGATTTGGGGTCAGGAGACTTGGGTCTGAGTTTTATCTTATTAGCTGTGCGACCCTGAAGAAGTCATTTAAGCTCCCAAAGCCTGTTTCCTCAGCCAAAGAAAAGACCAAAAAAATGACTTCACAGGTAGTTACTTTGAAGTGTATGCAAAACTTACTGCCAAACTTAAAAGTATGATAAAAATGTGACTTGCTACTATTATTATTTGACAAAGCCAAGTCAGATGAAGAAGAAATTACAGGTGGTAAAAGGAGTTAGTTTTGACAAGGATCATTCAC